AACGACCAAAAAAAAAAAAAAGAACAATGTAAGAAGAAAAAGCGATAAAAAACGAGAAATAAATGAATTAAACAAGGCAACAAAAACGATGACAAAATGAGAAAACAAAAGCTAAACAAATTGCAAAAGGCGAGAAAAAAATGACAAAAATCGACTAAAAACTACTTAAAAAAGGACTACAAAAAAATACAATGGCAAAAAGGACAAAAAGGAAAAAACGACAAAATATTATAAAAGTGGTAAAAAATACAACAAAAACCGTGACAAGATCTCAAACAAATCACGAAAGAACAGACAAAAATGCAAAAAATGAACAAAAACAACAAACAAAGGGGTAAAAAGGACGACAAAAACTGCACTAGAAAAAACGACAAAAAAAGATCACAAAAAAATGCCATGAAAACTGATAAAAAAAAAACAACAAAAAAGAGACGCAAAAAATACGAGAAAAAACGACAAAAAAAATAAAAATGTAGACAAATACAACAAAAAAGGTGGCAAGGACAGGTTTAACAAATAACAAAAACAATCCAAAAAAGGACAAATAAAAAAGAAAAAAAGGGAACAAAAAAGACCACAGAAATGGCAAAAAAAATAAAAAAAAACGTCAAAATAAAGGCGACAAGAAACGCCGAAAAAAAGAACAGAAAAACTAAAAACACGTTAAAAAAAGGAATAAAAAAAAACACAAAATTTGTAACAAAAAACACAAAAAACGCTTCAAAAAAGTACTAAGGAAACGATTAATAAGCGACAAAAAAAGAAAAGAACCACAAAAACATAAAAATGGGCAAAAACACGGCAACAATATAAGAAGAAAAAAATTACAAAAAAACGATGAATAAAACAAGGAAACAAAAAGCATGATGCAACGACCAAAAAGAAAACAACAAGAACATTTAAAAACAACAAAAAACCACCAGAAAAATTCGTAAAAAAAGGCGGGAAACATGACAAGAGCAAAAGCACTGAAAAGGGGCAAAAACTGCAATCAAAAAAGGACAAAAAGGGAAAAAACGACAAAAACAAAAATGGACAGAAAACAAGACAGCAATGTAAGAAGAAAAAGTGACAAAAAACGAGAAATAAAAGAATTAAACAAAGGCTAAAGAAATTGGAAAACGCGACAAAAAAATTACAAAAATCGACAAAAAAATTGCTAAAAAATGGACCAAAAAAAATATAATTGCCAAAAAGGACAAAAAGGGAAAAAACGACAAAAGAACATAAAAGTGGATAAAAATACAACAAACCACGAAGGAACAGACAAAAATGCCAAGAAGGGACAAAAACAACAAACAAAGGGTTAAAAAAGACGACAAAAACTGCAATAGAAAAATACAATAAACGGAGTTAAAAATTTAACAAAAAAAAGGCGAAAAAACTCGACTAAAAAAACACAAAATGACCAAAAAATACGACAAAAATTTCAATAAAAAAAAGGCTGCAAAAAAAAACGACAAAAAAAGATCACAAAAAATGCCAGGAAAACTGATAAATGAAACAAAAAAAAGGAGACGCAAAAAATACGAGAAAAAACGACAAAAAAAGACAAAAATGTAGACAAGTATAACAAAAAAGGTGGCAAGGACAGGTTAAACAAATCACAAAAACAACGCAAAAAAAAGACAAACAAAAGGGTAAAGAAAATGGAACAAAAAAGACCACAAAAATGGCAAAAAAATCGAAAACAACAAAAAATCGGCAAAAAGCTGGGACAAAAATGCAAAAAAAAAAACAAAAAATAACGTCTAAAACAAAGGCGACAAGAAACGCCGAAAAAAAGAACAAAACAATTACAAACACGTTAAAATAGGAATAAAAAAACTACAAAATTTGTAAGAAAAAATACAAAAAACGCTTCAAAAAGTCCTAAGAAAACGATTAAAAAAAACACAAAAAACATAAAAATGAACAAAAACACGACAATAATGTAAGAATTTTTTTTTTAAGAAGAAAAAAATGACAAAAAAACGACGAATAAATCAAGGCGACAAAAAGCATGATAAACGACCAAAAAAAAACAAAAAAATAAGGACGACAAGAAGCGAAGAAAACAACGCCACAAAAATCCGTTAAAAAAAGGCGTAAAAGTGACAAGAGCAAAAAGGTAACAAAAAACATGACAAAACAACGACAAGAAACAACACAAAATCGAAAATAGCGAAAAATATCAACAAAAAAAAGTGACAAAAAACATGGAAGAAATGGAAAAAACGACAAAGAAAACACTTGAAAAATTCAGAAAAAGGAAGAAAACACGATAAGAAAACAAAAACATAACGAAAAATGCAACAAAAAAAAGGGAAAAAAAGATGCATTTTTTCGATTTTTAATCTTTTTATTTTTCAATTTTTCGATTTTTAATTTTTGAATTTTTCCATCCTTGAATTTTTCGATTTTCAATTTTTCGTTTCGGTTTTTCATTTTCTTTATTTTTAAAATTTTTCGGTTTTTCAAAGCTTTTATTTCATACTTTATCAATTTTTTTCAATTTTTTATTTTTCAATTATTTTACAACTTTGCAATTTTTTCATTTTTTTATTTGAAAAGTTGAAAAATCTAAAAATCAAAAAATTGAAAAATAAAAAATCGAAAAACCAAAAAATCTGGAAAAACTGAAAAAAAGTCGAAAAATTACAAATCGAAGAACTGAAGAAACAAAAAATTAAAACATTGAAAAACTGAAATCGGGAAATTTAAAATTCGAAAAACGAATTAATCGAGAAATTGGAAAACCCAAAAATCTAAAAATTCAAAACTTGAACAATTAAATATTGAGGAATTGAAAAATTGCAACTCAAAAAACTGAAAATCGAATAAATAAAAAAATATAAAAAAACAATAACTCAAAAATGGAAAAATTATATAATCGTAAAATAGAACCAGTGAACGAGTTACAAATTTAAAATGAAAACCAGAAAATTTCAAATCAAAAATTGAAGAAACGAAAAATTGAAAAATCGAGCAACTGAAAAATCTAAAATTGAAAAAAAGAAAAATTATAAAATCAGCACATAGAAAAACCGAAAAAGTGATAAAATACCGGAAATAAAAAAGCGAAACGAAAAATAGCACCTCGAAAAATTGAAGAAACTAAATAAATTTTTATTATTAAAAAAAAAATGACAAAAACAAGGCAAAACATGCAACAAAAGGACGACAAAAACCGACTTAAACAACATAACAAATGATACAAAAAAAGGCGTCAAAAACTGCAACAAAAAAGAAAAAAGGGACAAAAAACGGAACAAACGATAGAATATATAAAAATGGACAAGGACGGGTTAAACAAATGACAAAAAAAACAAGACAAAACGCAAAAAAAGACAAAAAAAAAGCGAAACGAAAAATGGCACCCCGAAAAATTGAAGAAACCGTAAATAAATTTTTATTATTAAAAAAAATTGACAAAAAGAAGGCAAAACATGCAACAAAACGACAACAAAAACCGACTTAAACAACACAACAAATGATACAAAAAAATGCGTCAAAAACTACAACAAAAAAGAAAAAAGGAACAAAAAACGGAACAAACGACAGAATATATAAAAATGGACAAGGACGGGTTAAACAAATGACAAAAAAACAAGACAAAACGCAAAAAAAGACAAAAAAAAAGGTAAAAGAGGGAACCAAAAAAACACTAAAAAAAGCAAAAATAAACCAATTAATGGCATTTAAAAAAATTGCTATTTAAACGTAGGTATCACCATTTTTGCCTTTTTTTTTTGTCAATGAAACCCTGGTTTTCTGATTTTTTGTTAAAACTTTTTAATCCGACTTGTTCTGTTCAAGTAATCTTTAGTATAGTAGAGCCAGTTGAGATTTTTTTCTTTATTCCACAACAGTCGAATAAATTCATAATTCTGGCACACAACCAAATGAGTTCACGCTCATTGCAGACGATCTACGTTATGATATACAGTTATTTGGTCGAATGGTGTATGTTTTGTTTAATTTTTTGTGCTGCAAAACGTTGCGCAATACATTAAAAAATTACGAAAAGGACGAAAAAGGACGAAAAGGACGAATTAAATTTCTAAATAAAAATCACACCAAATTTGTATCCAGATTTGCATTTTCCAGACAATTATTTTATTATTTATTTTTAGTACAGTTCGGGGGGAATTGGGGGTGAGTAAAACTCAATAATGCTGAATAATAATAATACTAATTTATTCAATAAAACTTGAAAATACATCTTTACAAAGTATGAGTGTCTCTAAACAATTGGGTTAATTAATTAATTATAATACAATAATAACAGCATTGTGTTCCCGCTTTTGTGTTCCTTTTTTGTTGTGTTGCCGCTGACTTTGGAATTCTGACGTCGAATCGAAACCATTGAGGTGATCAGCGATTCGTAGTTGCTTGCAATATCGACGACTGCACTCAAATTTCGCTCCAATTGCGATCGTCAAAAAGATTAAAAAATAGAAAAGTTGAAATTATTGTTAATTTTTTTTTGAGATTTAAATCACACCTCCATTTTGTTGCGCGACACCATAAACATCACCATAAACCCAGCATGCTTCGACCAAGCACACAAAAAATAATTCGCGCCGCCCCACCCCACCCTCCCCAAACCCGAATGTTTCCGCCCCGACTACCCATTACCCTCACTAACTACAACAATGAAAATCCAATTTGCCCCCTCCAAATCTTATTACGGCCATCCCCTAAATCTCCCAATCCGTCCCTGTCCAGAACACAAATCCGAGTAATGGCCCTTTCGCATTAATACAGTTATTTATTCCGTTACAAACCCCAAACCACAACACGATTTATCAACAACCGCCCTCAAGATACACCACTCCGGCTTAGTGGCCACTGGAAATGATGAATTCGGGCCGTATAAAAACCGGGCATAACTCACAATACGCCGTATGTGTTCAACACTGCGTTGCACGCAATTAGATTACGTTTCGGTGGAGCGGGACAGTGGAAGTGATGTATTCGGCGGCGGAGTCGCCCAACAAGAGATAAAAAGCACATACCAGTCCCGAAATCCGGTTCAACGGAGTCGTCGCCGATAACCGGGATCGTCTCGGCCCTGAAAGGGTGCCATAAATAACGGCCGATATAGCGGGCGTAGCGGTCGTCGCGGGGGTTCACGGCCACGGCGACGTCGCCCAGCATCGTCTCGGGGCGGGTGGTGGCGACCACGATCTCCTCCTCTGTCGGAATAAAGATTAGAGAAAATGCGGAACGAAAGGGGATGAATGCGGAATGAGGGTGGTTGTGGGGTTCTGGGTGTACCTGAGTTGTGGAGTTTGTAGGCGAAGTAAGTGAGAGTTCCGAATTCTATGGGGCGGTCGTAGTTGGGGACTGGGATTGGGGTGGGGCCGTCCACCTCCACGTGGTCCACCTCGATGTCTGAGATGGCGGATTGGAGGCTGCAGGACCAGTTGACGAGATGGTCGGCACGGTAAATTAGACCAGAGTCGAATAATTCGATAAATGCTTTGGTTACTTCTCTGGATTGGGTGGGGTCCATGGTGAAGACCTTGCGATTCCAGTCTAACGAGGCGCCGAGACGGCGAAGTTGATTTTCTGGAAAAGATGTACTATTTTCATTTATTTACTCAAACAGAAACTTCTAATAAGACATATAATAGGTCTCCCGTTTCCGTCTGTCTGTTTGTCTGTCTGTCTGTCTATCAGCCGTCTGTGTCGATTTTATTAGACAGATAATATGCAAAATTACCGACCCGCCCCCCCAAAATGATGTTTTCATCTTACAATCGTCTCAAATGAATGTGAAATTTTCATCCTAGACATCGAGATTTTTAGATAAAATAACAATTTTTCCACTTCTCGATTTTCAATTTTTCGATTGCACTCAATTTTTCTTTTTACGAATTTTTAGTTTCTCCTTTTTTATTTTTCGATTTCTCAATTTTCTGATATTTCAGTACTAAACGATTAATAAATTTTTCGATTTTTCGATGTTTAAATTTTTGGTGTTTCTAAATTGTCGATTTTTCAATTTCTCAATTTCTCAATTTCTCGATTAATTAATTTTTTGATCTTCTGACTTCTCGATTTTTCGGACCTCCGATTCCTCGAGTTTTCAAAATTTCGATTTCTCAATTTTTCGATGTTTCAGTTTTGGGTTTTCTAGATTTATCGAGATTGCGATGTTCCGATTTTTCGGTTTTTTAAGTTTAAATTTTTCAATTTTTCGATTTCTCAATTTCTCGATTAATTGATTTTTGAATTTTCTAACTTTTTTATTTTTCAAAATTTATATTTCTCAACTTTTCGATTTTTCAATTTTGGGATTTCTGGATCTATCAAGATTTCGATGTTTGGATTTTTCAATTTTTAATTTTTTTGATTTTTCAATTTTTGGTCGTCTCGAGTTCTTGATCTTTTGATGTTTGAATTTTTAATTTCGACTTCTCGATTTCTCGTTTTCTCGATATTTCAATTAATCGATTTTTTAATTTCGAATTTTTGTCAGTTCCTCAATTGATTTTTTTATTTGTTAGCTTTTCAATTTCTTAAATTTTACATTTTCGGTTTTTCCATTTTTCGAATTTACAATGTTTTGGTCTCCCGATCTATTTTTTTTATGTTTTTCAATTTATGGATTTTTCGAATTTCCGATTTCTCGACGTCATAGTTTTTCGATTTTTTTAATTTTTCGAATTTTCGGTTTTATGATTTCTCAATTTTTCAAATGTTCGCTTCCACACTTTTCCGAAATCTTTATTTTCGAATTTCGATTTTTTTAAATTTTAGATAAATATCGCTTTTTCAATTCTTCCATTTTTTTTATTTTTCAAGCATTCGGATTTTTAAATTTTACACTTTTAATTTTTTTGATGTTTCGACTTCTCTATCTTTTGATTCTTCTACTTCTCGCTTTCAGGTTGTTTAGTTTTTCAGTTTTTAGATTTTTCAAATTTTTAATCTTTTTATCGAAATTTCGAAGTTTCGACTTTTCATTTATCGGTTTTTTGAAGTCTAAATTTTCCAAATCTGAATGTTTCGGTTTTTCGTCTTTTCGACAACTCGATGTTTCAATTTTTCAATTTCGATTACCCGATTTCTAGTTTCGATTTTTCTACTTTTCGATTTGCTGATTTAGAATTTTTTAATATGGATTTCGATTTTTAAAATTTTTCTAATATTCGGTTTTTCGATTTTTCAAGTTTTCTTATTTATCTTCAGTTTCGGTATTTCAATTTTCGATTTTTTTATGTTAGATATTTCGAATTCCCGAATTCTCGATGTTTCAGTTCTTCGATTTCTCAGTTTTCCTATGTTTCAATTTTCTGATTTATAAATTCTTCGATTTTTCAATTTTTAGCATTTTTAAATTTTCGATTTTTCTATTTCTCAATTATTTCAAGATTAATCGATTTTCTGATTTTCTGACTTCTCAATTTTTCAAAATTTGGATTTCTCAATTTTCGATGTTTCAGTTTTGGAATTTTTTTGGGATTCTTAGATTTGATGACTTTACAATTTTTCGAATTGTTCAATTCTTCGATTTTTTATTTTTCATTTTTTGAATTTGCAAATTTTAGATTTTTCACTTATTTTGATGTTTCGGTTCCTCCATTTTTCGATTCTTGGATTTCTCGCTTTTAGATTTTTCACTTTTTATTTATGTTTCGATTTCTCGATTTTTCGATCTTTCGACTTCTTGCTTTTAAAATTTTCGGTTCTTTAGCTTTTCGATTTTTAAAATATTTAATTTTTTCATTTTTCAATTTTCCGGTTTTAAATTTTTGGATTTTATAATTTTTCGATTTCCCGATTTATCGAAATTCCGATTTTTTTTCTGTCAGTTTTTTAAGTTTAAATTTTTCAGTTTTGAATTTCTCAATTTTTCGTTTTTTCGATTTCTCGATCTTTTGATGTTTGGATTTCTCGATGTTGCAGTTTTTCAATTTTCATTTTTCAATTTCTCGATTTTTCGATTTTTTTTTTATTTTTAAATTTTTCGAATTTTTGAATTTAGATTTTTCATTTTTTTGATGTTTCGGTTTTTCAATTTTTCAGTTTTTCAATTTATTGAGATTTCGATGTTTCGATTTTTCAAATTATTGGTTCTGTTCAATTTTGAATTTTTGATTTCTCAACGTCACGGTTTTTCGATTTTTTTAATTCTTCGACTTTATGGTTTAACAATTTTTCGTTTTTCAAGTTTTCGATACTTTAGTTTTTCGATATTTTAAAGTTTAGATCTATCGATTTTTCAGTTCTTCGATTTTTTTTTATTTTACAATTTTTTGAATTTATAAACTTTTCATCTTTCACTTTTTTGATGTTTTGATTCTTCGGGTTCTCGCTTTTAGAATTTTCGGTTTTTAATCTTTCGATTTTTTTAAATTTTGCAATTTTTCGGTTTTAAACTTTTCAGTTCCATAATTTTTCAATTCCTCGATTTATCAAAATTTCGATTTTTCACTTTTCGATTTTTCTATTATCAGTTTTTTTAGTTTAAATTTTTCAATTTTCAATTTCTCAATCTTTGGTTTTTTCGACTTACTCGACTTCTTAATTTTTTGATCTTTTTATGTTTCTATTTATCGATGTTTCAGTTTCGATTTCTCGATTTTTCACTTCTTCGATTTTTTCTAATTTTCAATTTTTCGAATTTTTTAATTTAGATTTTTCACTTTTTTGATGTTTCGGTTTCTCGATTTTTGGGTTTTTCTTACTTGCCGCTTTTAGATTTTTCGATTTGTCAATTTATCGATTTTTCAGTTTTTCGATTTTTCAATTTATCGAGATTCCAATGTTTCGATTTTTCGGTTTTCGAATTATTGGTCCTTTTTAATCTAAATTTTTCATTTTTGAATTTTTCGATTTCTCAACATTTTGATGTTTTGATTTCTCGGTTTTTCGATTTTTCGAGTTTCCGTTTTTCCAATTTTTTGGTTTTTCAATTTTTCAATATTTCAGTTTTGAGATTTTTCATTCTCTCGATTTTTCAGTTTTTCGCTTTTTCAATTTTTAGATTTTTTAATTTCTCCACTTTTTGGTTTTAGGATTTCTCTTTTTTTCAAATTTTCGATTCTTCATTTTTTCGATTATTATTTAGATCTATCGATTTTTCAGTTCTTCGATTTGTTTTTATTTTACAATTTTTTTAATTTTTAAATTTTTCATTTTTCACTTTTTTGATGTTTCGATTCTTCAACTTCTCGCTATTAGAATTTTCGGTTTTGTAATTTTTCGATTTTATGATTTTTCGATTTCTCAATTTACCGAAATTTCGATTTTTCTATTTATCGATTTTCAATTTTGAGTTTCTCAATTTTTCGGTTTTTCGACTTTTTAATTTTTTAATCTCGCCTTCTCAATTTTTTGATGTTTCGGTTTCTCGATCTTTGCTTTTTTTTACTTTTACATTTTTCAAATTTTCGATTCCTCCTCGTTTCGGTTTTTGATTTTTAAAAGTTTTCGACTTTTCGGTTTTTTCGATTTCTCAGTTTTCCTATGTTTCAGTTTTATGATTTCTAAATTTTTCGTTTTTCCGATTTCTCAATTATTTTGCGATTAATCGAGTTTTTGATTGTCTAACTTCTGGATTGTTCGGCTCTACGATTTCTCAATTTTTCGATTGTTCAATTTTTCAATTTCTCAAGTTTTCGAAGTTTCAGTTTTGGGATTGTTTTTAGATTTATAGAATTTTCGATGTTACGATTTTTCAATTTTTCGATTTATCGATTTTTTAAGTTTAAATTTTTCAATTTTGATATTTTCAATTTTTCGATTTCTCAATTTCTCGATTAATCCATTTCTTGATTTCCTGATTTTTTGATTTTTCGATCATTTGATGTTTTGATCTCTCAATTTTTCAATTTCTCAAGTTTGCGATGTTTCAGCTTTGGAATTTTTTTTGGATTTCTAGAATTATCGAGATTTCGATTTTTCTATTTTTTGATTTATCGGTTTTTCAAATTTTCAATTTCTCCTTCTTTTCATTCTTCGGTTTCCTAATTTTCCGATGTTTCAGTTTTATGATTTTTAAATTTTTCGATTTTTTAATTTTTGGCTTTTCTAAATTTTCGATTTTTTGATGTCTAAATTTCTTGATTAATTGATTTTTTGATTTTCTAACTTCTCGATTTTTCGGCTCCCCGATTCCTCGCTTCAAAATTTCGATTTTTCAATTTTTCAATTTCTCAAGTTTTCGATGTTTCAGTTTTGGGATTTTTTTTGAATTCCTAGAATTATCGAAATTTCAATGTTTCAGTTTCTCAATTTTTCGATACCGGATTTTTTACTTTAAATTTTTCAGTTTTGAATTTTTCAATTTTTTAATATTTTAGTTTTTCAATTTCCATTTCTCGATTTCTCGAGTTCTTTTTTCAGTTCTTCGTTTTTTTATTTTCCAGTCTTTTGAATTTTTAAATTTTAGATTTTTCGCTTTAAAAATTTTCAGTTTTTTATTTTTCGATTTCGCACTTATTCGGTTTTAAATTTTTGGATTTTATAATCTTCCGATTTGTCGATTTACCGAAATTTCGATTTTACATTTTTCGATTTTTCTATTTATCATTTTTTTTTTAATTTAAATTTTTCAATTTTTCGTTTTTTCGACTTTTCGATTTCTCAATCTTTTGATGTTACGTTTTCTCGAAGTTTCAATTTTTAAATTTCGATTTCTCGATTTTTTGATTTTTCAGTGCTTCGATTTTTTCTATTTTTGAATTTTTCAATTTTTTGAATTTCCATATTTTTTCTCAACGTCCCGATTTTTCGATTTTTAGACTTTTTAGTTTTACGATTTATCTATTTTTCAAGTTTTTGTTTTCTCAGTTTTTCGATATTTTAAACTTTAGATCAGTCGATTTTTGAATTATTCGGTTTTTGTATTTTTCAATTTTTAAAATTTTTAAATTTTAGGTTTCTCACTTTTTTGATGTTTCGATTCTTCTTTCGACATTACTATTTATCAGTTTTTTAAGTGTAAATTTTTCAATTTTGAATTTCTCAATTTTGAGTTTTTTCGACTTCTGGACTTCATAATTTCTGGATATTGACTTTTCAATATTTTAATGTTTTGATTTCTCAATGTTTCATTTTTTCAATTTCGACTACTCGATTTTGCGCTTTTTCGATTTTTCGACTTTTCGATTTTTCAATTTTTCGATATTGCAATGTTATAGCAAATAGTGTACCAAAAAAGTTATGTCTAGTGTTTTTTTTACTATTTTTAACAGTATAGCTCCTATTAGTTCCCACTCCCACTCTAAAGAAGAAGATATAATTAACTCCGCCCACCCACCCCGCCCCCATTTCAGTGATTTATCTGGTCTGAACGAAAGGTTTTCAAAGTGAACAGAAGTAAAATCAGTCGTTAGAATGAGAAGAGATGGGGTCGCCGGGGCTAATACATGCTAAGATAAGACTCAGTTTGGCAAATAATATACCTTATAAGAGAATAGAGGGCGGGTGGGCGGGGCTAGTATTTGATAAGATAAGACTGATTTTGGCAAATGACGTACCTACCCTCTATGAGAATTAAAGTGTTTAATGTGAAAAACACGAGAAAACTGACAACTTGCAAATTTTTGGCTTAAGAATGGTGGAGGCGCAGAAAAATGCTTTTTAGATACCACTTTGGACATATTGAGAGCTCGTGCCGTGAGCTAGACGTTGCAGTGGCCAACCTAACCCCTCCACCTCCACCACTTGTTCCTCACGTGGCTTTCCCAACTCCCAAATTCTAATCCCATCGCTTACACCATTTTTGCCTCGTGTTTCCGCCGCCGATCCGCTCTCATCACGGCGACCCAAATTTAATAACCGCCTTATCCTCACAATTCTATTACCTAAATTGAGCAAGGAAATGCAAATCCTTTCATTCCGCCCCCGATTTTCTTCCCTCATTTCCGATTATCAGCCGCCGCGAGCCCGCCCTTTACGCCCTTAATAAATAAAGCCGACGTCAAGGTACCCAGCGGCCGCGTCTAACGAAATTACGGAATTCTCTAATTATCCCAACACAAACCTATCACTCGGCCCTTCTCGTCCTTCCACTTCCAGACCCTCTCCTCGAACGCTTCCCGTCCGACGTCGTGCCTGCTCTGCCGCTTTTCCTTCCAGAGCTGCTTCTCCACGACCACTTGGGTGGCAATTCCGGCGTGATCGATCCCAGGGACCCAAACACATTCGACACCCTCCATCCGTTTCCTGGACAAACATTTAATTAATTTCCATTAAAAAGGCGAGACGGTCATCAATCAAGCATGGGTTTTGGGAAACGAGGGACGGGATGACGATTTATCAGGGAGAGAAAGGTTGGCAAAAAATGTGGGGCTATTTTTACAAACGGACTTTATTGACAAGGCGAAATTTGTCAGTGACCGGATGCACAGAATAACACGGTGATTATTACCATCGGACTATCACATCCTGGATGGTAGTCGTCAGAGCGTGCCCCAGATGCAAGGTCCCAGTGATGTTCGGGGGCGGCAAAATCAGACTAAACACCTCCTTCGATTTAATTTCCGGTGCAAAATAATTGTAGCAATCAACCTCTTCATTGTCTACCACGTGGGGAACATATGCATCCCCCAACCCTAAAACAGAGAACATGGAGAAGCGTCATAGTTTAAATTAAATGACAGTTGAGGACTCCTCGACTTATGTTGGCAACAGTGTTTGTTTCTAACTAGGAATAAAATTAACTAGAAAAAATGTCATAATATTTTTAACGACGCGTTTTACTACAAATTGACACTAGATTTACCAGAATATTACAAGCTGCTTACTGTTTCCTTCACTTTAATTCAGGTCACACGAATTACAGTTCGTCGTCTGAGAACTTGTTTGATCTACAGACCAGAGCGCACGCAGGCCAATGTCGACTCTAAGCGTTTCGTGATCTCATACACATCCTAACCGGTTTCGACCAAAATTTCTTGCTGTTTCAACTTTCGAATTCTCAGTTTTTCGAAATTTTAGTTTGGGGACTTTTCAGTTTACTCCTATTTATTACTCAATTTTTGGATTTTACAATTTCTCAATTTTTCAATTTCTCGGTTTTCAGTTTTTCTCTTCAATTTTACGATTTTTTAAACATTTCGATTTTTTAATTTTTGACTTTTATAAACTCTTTATTTGTCGATTTTTCAATTAATTGATTTTTCAGGTTTTTTTGGTTGTGCAATTTTTCAATTTTTTTAGGTTTCGATTTTTCAATTCCATTTTTTTGATTTTTCGATTTCTCAATTTTTTAATTTCTCAGATTTTGGACATTCCAGTTTTGGGATTTTTCAGTTTACTTATTATTCATTTTTTTGATCTTACGATTTTGCAGGTTTTTGATTTCTCAATTTTTCGATTCTTTGGATTCTCAGTTTTGGGATTTTTCAGTTTTTCGGTTCGTCAGTTTTTCTTTTGTTTTTCAGTTTTTCGATATTTCAATATTTCGATTCTTCGACTTTTCGATTTTTGACTCCTGGATTTTTCGATGTTTCGATTTTTTTTCTTTTTCGATTTTTCAATTTTTCGATTTTACAATTTCTCATTTTTTCAATTTCTCGGTTTTCCGTTTTTTTCTTCAATTTTACGATTTTTAAATATTTCGATTTTTCAATTTTTGACTTTTGTACTCTTTATTTGTTGATTTTTCAATTAATTAATTTTTCCGATTTTTTGGTTTTTCAATTTTTCTATTTTTTCAGGTTTCGATTTTTCAACTTCACTTTTTTGATTTTTCGATTTCTCAATTTTTCATTTTTTTAATTTCTCAGTTTTTGGACATTTCAGTTTTGGGATTTTTCAGTTTACTTGTTATTCAATTTTTCGATCTTACGATTTTGCAAGTTTTTGATTTTTCAATTTATCGATTTTTTTTAAGGTTTCGATTTTTCGATTCTTTAGATTCTCATTTTTGGGATTTTTCAGTTTTTCGATTCGTCAGTTTTTCTTTCATTTTTCAGTTTTTCGATATTTCAATATTTCGATTCTTCGACTTTTCGATTTTTGACTCCTGGATTTTTCGATGTTTCGATTTTTTTTCTTTTTCGATTTTTCAATTTTTCGATTTTACAATTTCTCATTTTTTCAATTTCTCGGTTTTCCGTTTTTTTCTTCAATTTTACGATTTTTAAATATTTCGATTTTTCAATTTTTGACTTTTGTACTCTTTATTTGTTGATTTTTCAATTAATTAATTTTTCCGATTTTTTGGTTTTTCAATTTTTCTATTTTTTCAGGTTTCGATTTTTCAACTTCACTTTTTTGATTTTTCGATTTCTCAATTTTTCATTTTTTTAATTTCTCAGTTTTTGGACATTTCAGTTTTGGGATTTTTCAGTTTACTTGTTATTCAATTTTTCGATCTTACGATTTTGCAAGTTTTTGATTTTTCAATTTATCGATTTTTTTTAAGGTTTCGATTTTTCGATTCTTTAGATTCTCATTTTTGGGATTTTTCAGTTTTTCGATTCGTCAGTTTTTCTTTCATTTTTCAGTTTTTCGATATTTCAATATTTCGATTCTTCGACTTTTCGATTTTTGACTCCTGGATTTTTCGATGTGTCGATTTTTCAATTTTTCGATTTTACAATTTCTCAATTTTTCAATTTCTCGGTTTTCAGTTTTTCTCTTCAATTTTATGATTTTTAAATATTTCGATTTTTCAATTTTTGACTTTTATACTCTTTATTTGTCCATTTTTCAATGAATTAATTTTTCAGGTTTTTTGTTTTTTCAATTTTTCTATTTTTTTCAGCTCTCGATTTTTCAACTTCACTCTTTTAATTTTTTGATTTCTCAATTTTTCAATTTTTTAATTTCTCAGTTTTTGGACATTTCAGTTTTGGGATTTTTCAGTTTATTTGTTATTCAATTTTTCGATCTTACGATTTTGCAGGTTTTTGATTTTTCAATTTTTCGATTTTTTTTTTGGTTTCGATTTTTCGACTTCACTTTTTCGATTCTTTAGATTCTCAGTTTTGGGATTTTTCAGTTTTTCGATTCATCAGTTTTTCTTTCAATTTTCAGTTTTTCCATATTTCAGTTTTGGGATTTTTCAATATTTTTGTTCTTCGACTTTTCCAATTTTGACTTCTGGATTTTTCGATGTGTCAACTTTTTACTTTTTCGATTTTTAAATTTTAGATTTCTCAATTTTAGGTTCTGAGTATTTTAATTTTTCAATATTTAAAATTTTAGATTTTTCGATTTCTCGATTTTTCATTTCATCTCTTCCATATTTCAATTTTTCAAAAGTTTCGATTTCTTAATCTTTCGATTTTTCGACTTCCCGGTTTTAGATTTTCTGTTTTTCAATTGTCGTTTTTTCACATTTTCGATTTTTCAATTTTTCTAATTTGACATTTATAAACTGTCAATTTTTCGATTTTTCAATTAATCCATGTTTTGATTTTCCTATTTCTTGACTTTCGAGGGTTTCGATATTCCTGTTCCTCAATTCTTTAATTTCGATTTTTCATGTTTTTGATTTTTTATATTTTAATTTTTTTAAGGTTTCAATTTTTCGACTTCACTTTTTGGATTTTTCTATTGCTCAATTTTTTTTTCATTTTTCAGTTTTTCGATATTTCAGATTTGGGATTTTTCAATATTTTGATTCAACTTTTCGATTTTTGGCTTCTGGAGTTTTCGATGTGTCGATTTTTTTTACCTTTTCGATTTTTCAATTTTTCGATTTTTAAATTTTAGATTTTTTAATTTTTAAAATTTTAGATTTTTCAATTTCTCGATTTTTCATTTCAGCTCTTCGATATTTCAATTTTTCAAGTTTCCCAAATTTTCAAATGTTTGGATTTCTTAATCTTTTGATTTTTCGACTTCCCGGTTTTAGATTGTCGTTTTTTCAATTTTTCGATTTTTAAATTTTAGGTTTTTAAGTTTTTTGATATTTTCATTTTTCAATACATATTTAAAATTTTTGATTTTCCGATTTCTCGATTTTTCATTTCAGTTCTTCGATTTTTCAATTTTTCAAATTTGGCATTTATAAACTGTCAATTTTTCGATTTTTCAGGTTTTGATTTTTCATTTTTTAGTTTTTTTAAGGTTTCGATTTTTCGACTTCAGTTTTTGGATTTCTCGCTTGCTCAATTTTTCGACTTTTTAGGTTCTCAGTTTTTGGATATTTCAATTTTCGGATTTTCCAGGTTTTCTATGTTTCAGTTTTTCTTTTATTTTTCAGTTTTTCGATATTTCAGTTTTGGGATTTTTCAATATTTCGATTCTTCGACTTTTCGATTTTTGACTCCTGGATTTTTCGATGTGTCGATTTTTTACTTTTCCGATTTTCAATTTTTCGATTTTTAAATTTTAGAGTTTTTAATTTTTAAAATTTTAGATTTTTCGATTTCTCGGTTTTGGATTTTCTGTTTTTCAATTGTCATTTTGTCAAATTTTCGATTTTTTAATTTTTCAAATTTGACTTTTATAAACTCTCAATTTTTCGATTTTTCAATTAATCGATGTTTTGATTTTCCCATTTCTTGACCTTCGAGCGTTTCGATTTTCCTGTTCTTCAATTCTTTAATTTTTTGATTTTTCAGGTTTTCAATTTTTCAATATTTCGATTTTTTAAGGTTTCTATTTTTCGACTTCACTTTTTTGATTTTTAGATTTTTCAGTTTTTAGGTATTTCAGTTTTAAGATTTTTTAATATTTCAATTATTCTTGGGTTTTTCTATTTTTGACTTCTGGATTTTTCGATGTGTCCACCTTTTTACTTTTTCGATTTTTCAATTTTTGGATTTTTAAATTTTAGATTTTCCAATCTTGTGGTATTTTAATTTTTCAATATTTCTTAATCTTTCGATTTTTCGGCTTCCTGGTCTTAAATGTTCTGTTTTTCAATTTTTCGATTTGTTAATTTTTCATTCCAGATTTATCGAGATTTGATTGTTCAGGTTTTCGATTTATCAGTTTTTCAATTTTTTATCTTGCCCTATTTCGGATTCTCAGTTTTTCCAGTTTTCCAATTTTTCGTTTTTTGATTTTTCCGCTTTTCCAATTTTTCAACTTTCAACTTTTTGTTTTTCGATTTCTCTATTTTTCGATTTTTCGACTTCATCACTTTTCGATTTCTCGTTCTTTGAATAGTTCAATCTCTCAATTTTTCAATTTTTCGAATTTTTAAGTTTTTTGATTTCTCGATTTATCGAGATTTGGATTTTTCGATATTTTGATTGTCAATTTCTCAATTTATAAATTGTTCAATTTTTAACTTTTCGACTCCACGATTTCTTGATCTTTTTATTTTTCGATTTCTCGGTTTTTCGATTTTCCAGTTTTTCGATGTTTCGATTTTTCAGTTATCCGATTTTTTAAATTTGGGAGTTTCAATTTCTCGATTTTTCATTATCCGGTTTTTAAATTTTAGATTTTTGAATTTTACATTTTTCGATTTTCTGATGTTTCATTTTTCGATTTTCAGTTCTTCGATATTTCAATTTTTCAAGTTTTCGAATTTTTCAAATGTTTCGATTTCTTAATCTTTTGATTTTTCAACTTCCCCGTTTTGGATTTTCTGTTTTTTGTCATTTTGTCAAATTTTCGATTTTTTAATTTTTCAAATTTGACTTTCATAAACTCTCAATTAATGGATGTTTTGATTTTCCCATTTCTTGACCTTCGAGCGTTTCGATTTTCCTGTTCTTCAATTCTTTAATTTTTTGATTTTTCAGGTTTTCAATTTTTCAATTTTTCGATTTTTTAAGGTTTCTATTTTTCGACTTCACTTTTTTGATTTTTCGATTTTTCAGTTTTTAGATATTTCAGTTTTAAGATTTTTCAATATTTCAATTATTCTTGGGTTTTTCTATTTTTGACTTCTGGATTTTTCGATGTGTCTACCTTTTTACTTTTTCGATTTTTCAATTTTTGGATTTTTAAATTTTAGATTTTCCAATCTTGTGATATTTTAATTTTTCAATATTTCTTAATCTTTCTATTTTTCGACTTCCCGGTTTTAGATGTTCTGTTTTTCAGTTTTTCGATTTGTAAATTTTTCATTCTCAATTTATGGAGATTTGATTGTTCAGGTTTTCGATTTATAAGTTTTTCAATTTTTTATCTTGCCCTATTTCGGATTCTCAGTTTTTCCAGTTTTCCAATTTTTCGTTTTTTGATTTTTCCGCTTTTCCAATTTTTCAACTTTCAACTTTTTGTTTGTCGATGTCTCTATTTTTCGATTATTCGACTTCATCACTTTTCGATTTCTCGTTCTTCTGATCTTTCAATCTCTCAATTTTTCAATTTTTCGCATTTTTAAGTTTTTTGATTTCTCGATTTTTAGATTTTCAGTTCTTCGAATTTCGATTATTTTAATTTTTCATTTTTTTCTCACTGTTAATATCATACAGTGTATCGAAAACAACCACAAAAATTGTCACTAAACCGAAAAAAATCCATTGGGTTATTACGATTTCAACAATATTCTTGGTTTAAGACGCTTTGCTAGTAAAAAACACAAATAAAGAATTAATTCTTAGTTAAAGAAAATATGTAAAATCATCTAAATATGTACCAAAAGTATTCACTTAGTCGTTATAAAAATCGAGAAAGCTTAGAGTCGACATTGGCCTGAAGGCGCTCTGGTCTGTAGCTCAAACAAGTTCTCAGGCGACGAGTTGTAATGAAACAAGTTTTTATTTTTTATGCCTAAAACATCAGTTTGAATTTAAATTTACCCCACCTACGACTACAGACACCATCTAGTGGTCCCAGTTGCTACTAACAAAGTAAACATACCGGCCTTCCACGACCCACTGCAAACTTGCGCAAATCGCTCCAATTTCACCCTAAAACACCCCGCTTCGTTTAAAAAACACCCACGCTTCAACCACCACATTACTATCAATTGTTTACTCGATAAATTACAGTTTATAGGTTAACCAGCCCCCATGCTTGTCACTTCGCGTGAACCATCTTCCACCAGAGGGCGCTTGTGACAGTATTGACATATGACATATGACAAATGAGGTTAGACCAAAAATACAAAAATGTCTTTTTTTTCGCACGGTTTGCGGCATCAGAGCCGCTTTTTTTTGAAAATACACCAGAATTTACTTAGTCCGGCGACTACAGTGCGCAATTTTTCGGCCAAGAAAACCCTAAAAGGGGCGTTCAAGTTGGGGCTTGCCGGCGTCACGGTGGGGGCTCTCGTGGGCACTGGGTACTCCATACACAAGCTAAACCAGCCGCGGTTGCACATAATCAATGAAGAGACCACAATTCCGGCTGTCGATAGTTTACCAGAAATCACCCCAAGTCGAAAGGTTGTGTCAAATTTTGAATTTCAATTTTAGTGAAAACGGGTTTCAGATACACTTCCCGGAGGACCGGTCGGGCTTAAAACTCACCCTGTATCAGTACCAAACGTGTCCGTTTTGCTGCAAAGTCCGCGCTTTTTTGGATTATTATGGTATTTCGTACGACATTGTTGAGGTGGATCCTGTCCTGAGACAGTCAATCAAGTGGTCTACGTATAAGAAAGTGCCGATTTTAGTGGCTGAGTTGTCGCAAGGGTACCAACCTTTGAACGACAGCTCCATGATAATCTCCGCCCTTTCCACGTTTCTTAAAGACAAGAAAGAACTGCGAGAGATCGTCAAGTGTTACCCCCATATCACGTACATTGACGAAGACGGCGCTAAGAAGAGTGAAATCATGAACAAGTATTTTCTGGTTTTGGGGCAACCCACAATCACTAAACAAATCAAGTCAGTTTTATTGAAATTTCGAAAATTGGGTTAATTTTGGGTTTGCAGTGATGAGCGACAGTGGCGTAAATGGGTTGACGAGGTCTTCGTCCACGTCCTCTCCCCCAATGTGTACCGCACCCGCGACGAAGCCTTCCAGGCTTTCAACTGGTTCTCGGAGGTGGGTGAGTGGGATAAGAATTTCCCGCCGTGGGAGCGCAACCTGATTATAGTCGTGGGGGCCTCAGCCATGTACTTAATTGGTAAAAGACTGAAGAAAAAGTATGGTTTGAAGGACGACGTCCGGCAAACGTTGTATGACGAGTGCAACCACTGGATGAAGGCTGTGAGAGCCAAAGGGGCGAAGTTCATGGGGGGCGAGCGCCCGAATTTAGCCGATTTGGCGATGTATGGGGTCCTGTGTAGCATCGAGGGCTGCGACGCTTTCAAGGACGCGCTAGTTCACTCAAAAATCAAGGATTGGTATTATTTGATGAAGGAGGCCGTGAATAGCCACCAGGGGGCACAGTTTGTATAATTTACCACAAAACCGTCGTTTATTTTATTGTTATTTGTTGCGATTTATGAATAATACTAGGTTTATTTTATTGGGGTGTTTTTGTTGTGGCAGCAGTGGCTGTCACTAGTGTCACTTGTCAAACTCGAACAAGTGGTGGGGTGAAATTCGAAATTTCGTAATTAACGCGTGATTAATGTTTAATTGTGGTAAAACGAGAAACTGCACCTTGCCGATTTTACTTTATTAAGTAGTAAGAGTGCATGGAAAACATTACATATAAATTATTACAAGTGACAACTTAGTAAAGACTTTAAAAATCGTACAAAACAGTCAATAAATTATACTGAATACAAATCGATCTCGTTTTTGTATTTGGGAGCAGGTTTGGCGAAGGGCGAGAACCAGAAGATGGAAAACCTGCCGAAGACGGCTTGGATGCTTTTCCACCTCGACTTCTTCACCCAGCGCGCTTGCTCCTTCTTCAACTGCTCGATCCCAGTTTCGTCGTTCCAAATCGCCTGGACCTGGGTTCCCAACATGACAGCCGTAAAAATGGCGAACAGAAGCGCCTCGAAGATGAGAAAGAGCAGGAAAACCACGGTCGCCGGGGGCGAATAAGTTGTACATTCCTTCCATTCGTGCCGGATGCACATGAGGAATTGATTGATAGCTAAGAAGAGCGAATGTAGCGATAAAACGGCGATATAAAACTGGAAACGACGAGATAAAATAAAAACGACGACGAGAGAAATCGCACTCACAGTAAATAGTACGAAATATTTTTGATTGTTTTCACCAACGCAATTGTTCACCCATGGGCAATGGTGGTCCATTTTTCTTATGCAACTACAAAAATCGCCATTATTAACTGTTCACACTGGGGGCAAATTCCGTCAATTAACAATGAATTGACAGAATTTGCCGCTGGTTGTGGTTTGTTGTACCGTTGGCAGACCGAGCAATGATGGGCCCGGTCCGGCTTAATACTGCAGCATTTTGGGCACTTGAATATCACCTGGCCCTCCCTGTAGCCCATCTGCTTGATCATCTCCTTGGTGGCGTTCCCCTTTGGCACAGCTCCCTGCAAGCCAACCGTGAGCGCGTCGCCCCCTCGCCGCCTCTACTCACCGGGTCCGTGAACATAGTCTTTAAATGCGACGAAAACGCCAAGAAAGCGCAGCATTGAAAAATAACGCTATTGATTACGCTGTAAAAAGGATACGGGCTTGGAATGAGTATAACCGACATAACTACGAACTCAGCATACAAAATAAGTAACCACGTTAAGATTGCACAAATAATGCCGCAAATATCGCGTATACACCAAAGCATGCCGCCGCAGCATCGGTTGTGAAAGTCAATCTCTCTGCGAAACGACGCATATTCGTATTCCATCATGGTCAAGGGGGCACTAACATCCTTTTGAGGTTAGGTCTGCGGAATCCGAGCGGCATTGCTGGGCACGGATCACTGCCGGCATAGTGGCTCCTGGAGGAGTCTCGGTTACATTTCCTCGGGGAGTTGTCCTGAAACGGCTGAAAAACGCAGCACGACGGAGTGACAGTTTTGACGTTTGAATGACAGATGCGGAAATTGACAGGTCGCGGGTTTGTTTCCGGAACGCGCTCCCGGAGTTCCGGAGTTTTCGAAAAAGGGGGATTGGGGCTGGGGGAGGACTGGAGAGCGGATGGTGATCTGGCAAAAATCGATGTTCTGGCTGTTATCGGAGTGTTATCTGGAGAGCACTTGGTTTTTGAATGCACGGACGAACAAAGCGGAAAAATTATTGATTGTTCTTTTTTGCATTTTTTATTCATGGAAAGTTTGCATAATATGCTAATTAGAGGCTTTGTGGCTTTTTGTTTAATAAAACATAAGACGGTCGATTGGGTGAAGGTCACGGTTGCGTTAATAAGGTTATGAAGTTTGTTAATTTTCTTACTCGTATAATTTTACTCTACTATCAGTTAAAATGACTACATTTAAATGATCGGTTTCTGCGTAAATCTGTCTCATAAGAAGTAGTTGTTTCAGTAGATTTTAAGTCGAGCGGTAGACAACAGGTAAGTTTGAATTAGGCGCCATTTGTTGTACAATATGCAACCAGCAATTCTTCCTAAAATCTACTCGAGACGGGACATGGATGACAAAAACATTAATTTAAGTTGGTATTCAAGAGTATTTAACAGATAATTTGCAACAGACTGCCAACAATAGACCTTCAACGCAGAATAATCATTTTCCGGATATTTTTGAAATATTAGAATTAAACCTAATTGGGATCACGAAGGTTTCACATTAAAAAAGACATTTTTGGAGCCCCCGAGAAGGTTTTACATTTAAAAAATACAGTTTGAATCCCCGAGAAGGTTTCACATTTAAAAAAAAATACATTTGGGGCCTTCGAGAAGGTTTTACAATAAAAAAAAAAAGTTTGAACCCCCGAAAAGGTTTCACATTCTTAAAAAAATGCATTTGGGACCCCCGAGAAGGTTTTACAATAAAAAAAAAGTTTGAACCCCCGAGAAGGTTTCACATATAAAAAAATACATTTGGGGCTTCCGAGAAGGCTTTAAATTAAAAAAAAACAGTTTGAACTCCCGAGAAAGTTTCACATATGAAAAAAATACATTTGGGGCCCCCGAGAAGGTTTTACATTAAAAAAAAACAGTTTGAACTCCCGAGAAAGTTTCACATATGAAAAAAATACATTTGCCCCCCCCCAGAAAGTATTACAATAAAAAAAAAGTTTGAACCCCGGAGAAAGTTTTACATTTTTTTTTAAAAACACACTTGGGACCCCCGAGAAGGTATCACATATAAAAAATACATTTGGGGCCCCCGAGAAGGTTTTACAATAAAAAAAAAAGTTTGAACCCCCGAGAAGGTTTCACATTCTTAAAAAAATGCATTTGGGACCCCCGAGAAGGTTTTACAATAAAAAAAAAGTTTGAACCCCCGAGAAGGTTTCACATATAAAAAAAATACATCTGGGCCTTCCGAGAAGGTTTTACATTAAAAAAAACAGTTTGAACTCCCGAGAAAGTTTCACATATGAAAAAAATACATTTGGGGCCCCCAAGAAGGTTTTACAATAAAAAAAAAGTTTGAACCCCGGAGAAAGTTTTACATTTTTTTTTAAAAACACACTTGGGACCCCCGAGAAGGTTTCACATATAAAAAATACATTTGGGGCCCCCGAGAAGGTTTCACATTCTTAAAAAAACACATTTGGGGTCCCCGTGAAGGTTTTACATTTTTAAAAAAGACAGTTGGGACACCCGAGAAGGTTTCAGATTAAAAAATAGGACACTTGGCGACCCCGAGAAGGTTTTATATTTTGAAAAAGGACAGTTGAGACCCCCGAGAAGGTTTCACATTAAAAAAAAAGACATTTGGAAGCCTCGAGAAAGTTCTACATTTTAAAAAAAGACACTTGAGACCCCCGAGAAATTTTACATTTTAAAAAAAGAAAATTAGAAGCCCTGAGAAGGTTTCATTCTTAAAAATATACATTTGGGGCCCCCTAGGTTTTACATTTTTAAAAAACAAAATTATTCGAAAGTTGTTTCGACAGAACTTCCCTCGTACCTAAAGTACAATGAAACATATCCAGCATTTTCAAGTTGAGATTTTTCTTTACACAATTTTGTGATGACGTCATCAACATTTTTTCAAGGACACGTATATCAACTTGGATTGGTGCAGTGTAATACTAAAAGTAACGGTATTTTATTCCCCAAATTTTCCGGGAAATTCCTGATTTATTAATCAAATAAATTGATACATTCATTAATTTTTTTGAGTCACCTGTATAAGCAAATCTAAAAAATATAAATGCAGTGATAACTCACAAGTAAAAATTGATGATATGTTGCACATTTCGGGTGGATTTAAAAATTTAACTTTTTACTATGGAAATTTGCAATTTAACACCTTTAAATTTCATAAGTTTTCTCAAGATTAATAGGGCCAAAATCAGTCTCATCTCACCAAGTACTAGCCCCGCCCACCCACCCTCTATTTTCTTAGAAGGTATATGATTTGCCAAAATCAGTTTTATCTTAGCAGGTACTAGCCCCGCCCACCCACCCTCGATTTTCTTAGAAGGTATATAATTTGCCAAAATCAATTTTATCTTAGCAGGTACTAGCCCCGCCCACCCACCCTCTATTTTCTTAGAAGGTATATGATTTGCCAAATTCAGTTTTATCTTAGCAGGAACTAGCCCCGCCCACCCACCCTCGATTTTCTTAGAAGGTATATAATTTGCCAAAATCAATTTTATCTTAGCAGGTACTAGCCCCGCCCACCCACCCTTTACTTTCTTGGAAGGTATGTGATTTGCCAAAATCAGTCTTATCTCACCAAGTACTAGCCCCCCCACCCACCCTCTGTTTTCTTAGAAGGTACATCATTTGCCAAATTCAGCCTCACCTTAGCAGGTACTAACCCCGCCCACCCACCCTCTAGTTTCTTATAAGGTACGTCATTTGCCAAAATCAGTCTTATCGTAGCAGAAAAATTTAAAATTAAAAAAAATGGAAAAATTGAAAAATCGAAAAATTAAATAATCGAAAAAGTGAAATAGCGTGAAACTGAAATGTCGAAAAATTGGAAAAACGGAAAGTCGAAAAATCGAGAAATCGAGAACTCGAAATTGAAAAATTGAAACATCGAGAAATCGAAACATCAAAATGTCCAGATATCGAAAAATCGAGACATTGAAAAATTCAAAATTGACAAATTTAGTCTAAAATTCGTAGAATCGAAAAATTTCCATAATCGAAACATCAAAAAAGTGAAAAATCTAAATTTAAAAATTCAAAAAATTGAAAAACCCCCTATTTTCTCAGAGGATATGTCATTTGTCGAAATAAGTCTTATCTTAGCAGCTACTAGCCCCGCCCACCCAACCTCTATTTTCTTAGAAGGTATATCATTTGCCAAAATCAGTTTTATCCTAGCAGGTACTAGCCCCGCCCACCCACCCTCTATTTTCTTACAAGGTATATCATTTGCCAAAATCAGTTTTATCTTAGCAGGTGCTAGCCCCGCCCACCCACCCTTTACTTTCTTGGAAGGTATGTGATTTGCCAAAATGAGTCTTATTTCACCAAGTACTAGCCCCGCCCACCCACCCTTTACTTTCTTGGAAGATATGTAATTTGCCAAAACCAGTCTTATTTCACCAAGTACTAGCCCCGCCCACCCACCCTCTGTTTTCTTAGAAGGTACATCATTTGCCAAAATCAGTTTTATCTTAGCAGGTAATAACCCCGCCCACCCACCCTCTATTTTCTTATAATGTCTTTGCCAAAATCAGTCTTATCGTAGCAGAAAAAAATTAAAATTAAAAAATTGAAAAATTGAAAAATCGAAAAATTGAATAATCGAAAAAGTGAAATAGCGTGAAACTGAAAAATCCCTAAACTGAAATGTCGAAAAATTGACACATCGAGAAATCGAAACATCAAAATGTCGAGATACCGAAGAATAGAAACAATGAAAATTCAAAATTGAAAAATTTAGTCTAAAAAAACGATCATTCGAAAAATCAAAAGATTTTCATAAATTGATAAATCGAAAACCGAAAAATGATCAAAATGTCGAGATATCGAAAAATCGAAACATTGAAAAATTCAAAATTGAAAAATTTAGTAGGTATAAAAAAAACGATAATTCGAAAAATCAAAAATTTCGATAAACTGATAAATCGAAAACTGAAAAATGTATAAATGGAAAAACCGAAAAATCTAAAAGTGACAAGTAAGTAGAAGATCAAACGATCAGAAAATCGAAACATCAAAAAAGTGAAAAATCTAAATTTAAAAATTCGAAAAATTGAAAAACCCCTATTTTCTCAGAGGATATGTTATTTGCCGTAATAAGTCTTATCTTAGCATCTACTAGCCCCACCCACCCACCCTTTACTTAGTTAGAGGGTATGTCATTTGCCAAAATCAGTCTTATCTTACCAAGTACTACCAATAAGACTTATGTTAGCTAGTACTAGACCCGGCCCCCTGCCCTTTATTTTCTCAGAGGGTAGTACTTTAAGCAAATCTAAAAAATGAAGTTCTTTATTTGATCAATTAAAATTGATCGAAGGCTATAAGGATAATCCGACAAATCCAGCTGTTTAAAAAATTATAAAATTTGATTTTACGATTTTCGTTTTGTGATAACCGCTATAAAGTAAAAACCGGAGGCATCGAGCCCTTGTCCTTCAGCAGTAGGTAATAGCAATCTGAAGCTCAAGTGTATATTTATGTCTATACATCGAAAGAATGTCACGTAGAAGTTAGTTTGGTTTGAATGAGTTTGTCTTCTCAAAACCAAATTAATATTATAATTCTTATTTTATCATTATTATATAAAGACGCGCGTATTCTTCACATTTTCGAGAAAATGGGGTGACTCAGCGCACTAAAAAACCCTGTTACAAAAATCAGTACCAACGGTACTCAAACATAACAAGTTCCACCATCCTCGCCTATTTGCTCTTGATATTTATTCACACTTCCTCTATGCACAGCAAACACAAAATAATGACTAGTTACTCTAAACTAACAGAAAAAAATGTAAAAGTACCGTTCGTCTGCGTTCACAGCAATTCGCGAAGTACAACTTTGGAAAAAAAATCACATTTATATTCTATACGAAGTCGGTTCACTTCACACAACTCTTCACATTTGCCATGAATATATTCGTCTTCATTTTCATTTTACCCCTAGTTTCCACCGACACCCGCCTGTCTAGATGTAAGTACGACTCTCGCAACGTTTAGTACCACCCTAATAACTCACTTAGTTTTCGGTGTGGGTTTGGTACGATTCGAAAATAGCGTATGCACGGCCGCTAGTAATAATCTCGGTACTTGTTACACGAGATGGCAATGCCAGGACGTGGACGGAGTGGCTTCCGGTTCTTGCGCCTCAAACATCGGGGTGTGCTGTGTTGGTGAGTACCCCCATTTCGCGCCTACTCAGTTTCACCAAACTCGTTAGTTATAAGACACTGTGGGGAAACCAGTAGCTACAACAACACCTACTTCGTCAACGACAATTTCCCAAACCCCACGACGGATGGTACTAGTTGTACCCTGACAATCCAGAAGTGCAACAACGACATTTGCCAGGTTAGTACCACCCGAATGACAATCAAGCACCAATATAATTCTAGATTCGCATCGACTTCTTGAGTTTAAACCTAGCCCAACCTAACCCGCAAGGCGTGTGCGACACGGACGCCCTAACTATAACAGGTGGAGCCGGACCTGTGCCTGTAATCTGTGGAGAAAACACAGGCCAACACGTCTATGTGGATTTCAACGGGAATAACACCATTCAGCTGACGGTGACGACCTCAAGTGCCGAAAATATAGGCCGGAACTGGAATTTTTTGATCACCCAAATCGCCTGTGATTGTCCAACTAGAGCTCCGATTGGGTGCTTGATGTACTACACCGCTCTCTCGGGTACTGTGAACAGCTTCAATTACGGTACTTCTGGTAACGAGATAGACCCTACTACTGGACTTCCTGGTACTAGAGAACTAGTGAATGAAAACTATGGGGTCTGTGTGGCCATGATCCCTGGGTACTGTTCCATCGAGTGGAGCGCCGCCTGTGACAACTGTTTCATAGTTTCGGGGGATTTGGGTGCCTTGGGGATGGTAAGCCTGACTGGGTCGGACTGCAATTCGGACTTCGTGGTAATTCCGAACCCTTCGTACGTTAATGGTACTCCTGTCAATTCCGATAGGTTTTGTGGAACGGACTTTCCAACTGTTGTTAGTGAGTACTTTTGTGTTTTTGTACAGATTTTGGTTGTTAATTTTTTGAAAATTCTAGCTAGCTCGAAGCCGTTCGTTCTGACCGTTGTCACAAACGGAAATGAAATCAACGATACCCAAAATCGCGGGTTTTCACTGACTTATACACAACGACGGTGTTCAACAATGATGACAATCACATAACAAGATTTTATTTTCCTAATAAAGCCCCAGAACATTGATTTTGGGTGTACATTAATGAGAATCCTCGGTTTGCTACGTCAGTGGGAGGTACGTCGGAACCATCTGTAACCACCGTTAGGACGAAGGGTTTGGATGATGCTGCAAAATACAGTTGGTACTTGGTTAAAAATAAAAATTGGTACTTACTTGTCACTGGATTGAACCCGTTCCCACAAAACCGATCCGTGTTAGGTCCCATCAAAGTCGTATCGACATACATGGGGTTTGGAATGACCACGAAGTCCGTGGTACAGTTACCATCGTTCAACGCGGCAGCCGGTGTTCCTACAGTACCGTTACCCACCGCCATGTTGGTATCACCCGTTACTGTGAACCCATACATATCTCCCGTAGCAGCACTCCACGTTATGGAGCAGTACCCTGGCTGCATCTCCACGCAAACCCCATAATTCTCGTTGGCGAGTTGCCGGGTACCATTCTGACGACCAGTAGTACCGTAATTGAAGCTCATCACAACTCCACTTAGCGCCGTGTAGTACTGAAGACATCCCGTGGGAGCTACAAAGCTTGTATTAAACCAACTCAAATTAACAATAGTGGTAGTACCTTTAGTAGGACAGTCACACCCGATTTGAGATATCTTGAAATTCCAAGCTCTAGAGGCGGTTATGGCGGCGTTCGTGTTTATTATTAGTTGAATATCGGTATCACCGTTAAAGTCCACGTAAATGTGTTGACCTGTGTTTTCTCCACAAAGTACTGGTACGTTGGAGGCTCCCCCGATGACGTAGAAGGCGTCATTAACGCAATTGCCACTATCATCGGGCTGGGCTAGCTTAAAAGTAAGAAAGTCGATACGGATTTGGCAGATGTCAGGGTTACACCGCTTTATGGTAACACTACAAGTTGACCCCCCATTAAAAGTAGTAGGGTAGTTGGGACTCGTAAAGTACGTGTTGTTGTACGACGAGGAACCACCACAAGTAATTTGCACTAAAACAAAAATTCAAAAATCGGTACTACTTTGGTGTTGTACGTACCGATACAACACACTCCTATGTGGCTAGCACACGATCCAGTTGCCACCCCTCCGATTTCGTTACACTGTCGTCGCGTGTAGCAAGTACCATCGAAACCATCGGCGCCGCTACAGACCGAGTTTTGGAAGCGTACCACGCCCACGCCCCATCCAAGGAACCCTTCAAGATTTTTTCATACTCGCTACTATTCACAATAAAAAAGACTTACATTTCGCTGTTCGATTGTTTAAGGTGGTACTCGTCGTCGCTAAAGAAACAAAGCAAACGATGGCGCAGTAGCTCAAGGGGTGCATCTCGATGCTGAGGTCGTACTGACGTTTTTTTAAGAATGCGGGCCAACATTATGTTGAGTACACAAAAGTGTCATAATGGTCGAACATTTCGTGGACTAACGGTTACGGTAATTATTAAGTAGGTACGATCTTTGGTTCGTTGTACTGTTTTAATTTGAGGGGACCCAAATTTTCGAACTGGTCGAAATGATACGAAGATCCAGTTTGCAGATTCTGGACTGGACTACAGTACCAACAACAAACGCTTTATTAATTAAGCAAACAATAAAAACTTTGATCCCGGTACTACTAACACGGTACCCTTGTTCCAATTGGCGCAATCTGATCCACTTTAAAACCACAGTTACACTTTTTCGGTGGTGTTTGTCCACCAATTAACACCCAAATAAAAGACATCGTTATTCGTTCACGATTGCAAACACACACTGCACTCGATCGCGCCACCATGAAGGTAATTTTCTGTGTCGTACTGACCGTACTTCTTCCGACTACGTTTTCCACACCAAGAACGGCAAAATGTAAGACACACAATTTGGGATTCAAAAACTTAACCAAATTTTTAGTTTGGCCTGTGGGGCTGGTACGATTCCCGAATGACGTGTGCAACTCCGTCGAGGGGTACATGGGGACGTGCTACACCAGATGGGAGTGCAGCAGCGTCGGCGGTCTGGGTTCTGGTAGTTGCGCGAATGGTATAGGGGCTTGCTGCATTTGTAAGTACCAGGGGTACCGTGAAGGCATTAATTGTAACGAAAATTGCAGTTCAAGGTACTTGCGGCAACAGCTCTAGTTACAACAACACGTACTTTATCAATCCCGGGTTTCCGAACACGATTTCCAACTCCAGTTCTTGCACGTTTACGATTAAGAAGTGCAACCCGGATATATGTCAGGTACTTGTTTAGTTTAATGTTTTTGAATTTGGTACTATTGTTATGTGTAGGTGCGACTCGACTTCTTAAACCTAAATTTGGCCCAGCCTGATGGTAACGGTAACTGCGTTACTGACTCCCTTATTGTGTCTGGAGGGGCCTCCAACATCCCTATTATCTGTGGGGAGAACAGTGGCCAACACATTTATGTTAACTTCAACGGGGATAGCGATATCACTCTTATGATAAATACTGGGGCTTTAGCTAGTTATGGTCGTTCGTGGAACATCAAGGTAACCCAGCTGGCGTGCGACTGTCCCAGTCTTGGTACTACTCCCAACCGTTCAAAGTTTCAAATTCATTTATGTGTTTGTAGCTCCGACTGGCTGCCTCATGTATTATACAGACCTCACAGGTACTGTCAACAGTTTCAATTACGGTACCACCTTGAGTGGTGCTTTGGTTGTCAATCCTGCCAACATGACGAGACCAGGAACCAGACAACTAGCCAATGAGAATTATGGGGTGTGTGTGCAGATGCAACCCGGGTACTGCGCTATAGAGTGGAGCCAAGGACCGGACTCGACCTCTTTTACCGTCAGTGGCGACACAGCCCTAACAGATGTCACTCCTGGTTTACCCGGAAACCCCATGAGTGGTACCATGTGCGACACGGACTTCGTGGTGATTCCCAATCCCACTTTTACCAATGGTACTATGTCTGCAACGGATAGGTTTTGTGGAAACGAATTCCCCACGGTCACTAGTACGTTTTTTTGAATTTAGTGTCCCAGAAAATAATTAACCGATTGTAGGTTCCTCGAAGCCGTTTGTTATGACAGTTGTGACAGACGGCAGCGACGCCACTGACGTCGCAAATCGTGGCTTTTCGCTCAATTATCGACAAGTACCGTGTGGGGCCGCCGTCACTGGAGTCATGCTACTTCCATAGTACCAAAAAATATACTTTAATAAAAACGTTTCCTACAAAAACTCATCAGTACCCATTCAGTACCCGTCATGAACAAATCGAACCAACTCGTGCCCGGCTATAACAGCCCTAATCTGATGGCCGTCGACGAAGTGGTCTACCGCCGCCAAGTGTACTACACCGGGGGCGGCTGCTGCCCCCCGCGCCGCAGCAAGTCCGACATGAACGTAAGCAGCCCACGTTGCGGCCCCTGCTGCCCCCAGACCACCCTCAAGCTGTCTTGTTCTCCAAGTGTTCGCTGCAGTCCGTGTAACAGGTCGCTGGGGACGCCCCACAACACCCCCTGCAGCTCCCCGTACATGTCGCCCATGGTGGGTCCCATGAACGTCACGTCCAACTCCACGAAAATGTCGCTGTCGGTACCCAAGGTGGTGAACAGGTCCAGGTCCACCAGCTCGTTGGAGAACTCGGAGCTGCTGAGCAGTACCAGGATCGACTCCAGCAGAAACATTGGTTACGGAAAAGCGGACTTTTTCATGGGGAATGGCTCGATTTCGAGAATTTACAAGAATTGATGGGTCGTGTTTCGGATTTATATTTCTGGGTTTGCAATTTTAATTTGTTTCTGTAATTTTTTTTAAATAAATTGAACCTTATCTACTGTACTGTGGTGGTTTTGTGGTGTTTCTTCCCGTGGTGTGATAGGCAACCAATCATACATGGATTAGTACTATGAAAGAAAGTCATGGACTATGATTTTTTTAGTTTTATTTCGTCGAACATATAAATTAATAAAGGCAACAATAAATATTGTGGAAGGTCTACGACTAGATTTACCATCCGTAGTTGGCGTAGTTGGAGGCGTAGGTCAGATGGGATACGGCGGGGGCGGCGGAGTAAGCGACGCCGACGGCTGGGGCGGCGATGGCGTGGGAAGCATAGGCGCCGATGGCTGGGGCGGCGTAGGCACTGATGGCTGGGGCGGCATAGCCTCCGTGGTAGGTGCTGATGGCTGGGGCGGCGTATCCTCCGTAGGCTACGGCGGGGGCGGCGGCGATGGCGGTCCTAACTCCGGGGTTGGACACACGGATGTCGTGTTTGCGGACGCTGGAGAAGGGGGTGTCGATGCTCTTGGAGTAAGTGGAGACTTGTCCCAAGTTGCCGAAGCTGCGGATGATGTTGGAGTGCTGGGAGGTGATGGCTGGGGCGGCGAGAGCGGCGGGGGCGGCGTAGGCTACGGCGGGGGAGGCGAGTCTGCCGTGGTAGGTGCTGCCGAGGGTGGGGGCGGCGGCGCCGTAGGCCAAAGCGGGGGCGGCTCCGTAGGCCAAGGCGGGGGCGGCGCCGTAGGCCAAGGCGGGGGCGGCAGCGTAACCGCCGAGGTATCCAGCGTTGGCGCAAGCCAAAGCGGCGCACAATACTACGAGCTGAAAGATTAAAACAGTTTAGTTTTGAAGGGGTGGAGTTGGGTTTGGGGTAGTACCCTGAATGCCATTGTTGCTTGAGTGTTGGTGGTCGGTGAATGATGGTTGGTGGAGCGTTGGGCGCGTTTTTATACTGGGTTAATAAACCAGTTTTGGGAAAAAACGACTTCGTTTGTTCTGAATTGCATAATCTGACAAGTATTCTCGCAGTAGTATAATGGGAACAAGTTCATGCGAATTTGTTACAGAAAGGTGATTTTTAATAATTTGTTAAATGTTATCTTCAGTTGTTGGGATGTCCGTGAATGCGATGGAAAATTACGGATGTGTGAGAATGATTTTCAATATTTTCGACACCCAAAATAAAAAAAATCCTCCTATTGAGTGTAATGTCTGCGAAGACAGAACATAATGTTAAACGACAAGCATTTATTTAGTCCACAACAACATCAAAGGAGATTATTATTTAAAAAAATACGTTACTTATTTAATTGTGATGTGTTTGAGTACAACAGAATTCAAAACATTTTTGCTCATTTCGTATGAAAAAAAAGAGAAAAATTTAGATCGTCCCTGGTATTTACATATCTTAAATATTTTTATTTGATTTATCAACAATCTACAGTTTATACATTGTAAAGTTTTAATACTTAAAACGGTGTTTTAATTTGTAATTATTTACAAATTGCTTGCAAATCATATGGTTTCAAAAAATTCTCTAATGTACATTTTTTATGTAAAACTTTTCAAAAAAAAAACGTTTACTCAAATACAAAATTTTGCAAATGATATCCAGAGTTCATGACTGCTGTCATATATTCTTCTCTTAATTTCAGACGCTGTTGTTTTTTCATTAGAAGTTTGATTTTTTCAATTTTTTGCTGGACCTTTCTTCGATTTTTCGGGTTTTAAATTTTTCGATTTTTCGTAATTTTTTTTTTATTTAAAATTTTTCAATTCTTCACTTCGATTTTTCAATTTTGTTCGATTTTGATTTCTCGGTTTTTCAATTTTTCGATGTTTCGATTTTTCAATTTTTCGATTTCCCAAATTTTTTGTCCTTTCCGTTTGGAATTTTTCAGTTTCTCGACGTTTCAATTTTCCGATTCTTCTATTTTCCAAATTTAAAATTTTTCGATTTTTAAATTTTGGATTTTTGATTTTTCGATTCCTCAAATTTTTCTTACAATTTTCAATTATTCGACATTTCGGTTTTGGGATTTATCAATATTTCAAGTCTTAATTTTCCCATTTTCGAGTTTTCTATTTCCCGATTTTCTAATTTTTCGATTTCTCGATCTTTAGATTTTTCGACTGATCGGTTTTAGATTTTTCGGTTTTTATTTAATTTTTTTGAGTTTTCACTTTTTCGATTTTTAAACAACTCGATTTATCGAAATTTCGATGTTTTATTTTTTCGATTTTTCGTTTTTTTTTTTTTTATTCAAAATATTTCAATTTTTAATTTCGATTTTTGAATTTTGGCCTATTTCGATTTCTGATTTCTCCATCTTTTGATGTTTCCATTTCTCGTCAATTTTTCGACTTTTCGGCTTTTCGATTTCTCGAAATTTCAAATTTTCGATTTCTCAATTTTTCGATATTTCAGTTTGGGGATTTCTCGATCTTTCGATTTTTCGATTGCTAGGTCTTTGTTTTTTCGGTTTTTAAATAATTTTTCGATTTTTCAGGTTTTCAATTTTTCAATTTTGTTCTACTTTGATTTCTCAGTTTTTCAATTTTTCGATGTTTGGATTTTTCAATTTTTCGATTTCCCAATTTTTTGTCCTTTCAGTTTGGAATTTTTTGAGTTTCTCGACTTTTCAATTTTTCGATTCTTCTATTTTCCAAATTTTTAATTTTTCGATTTTTAAATTTTGGATTTTTGATTTTTCGATTCCTCAAATTTTTCTTACATTTTTCAATTATTCGGCATTTCAGTTTTTGGGATTTATCAATATTTCAAGTCTTAATTTTCCCATTTTCGACTTTTATATTCCCCGATTTTCTAATTTTTCGATTTTTACATTTTAGATTTTTCAATTTTGCGATTTTCGATTTCTCGATCTTTCGATTTTTCGACTGATCGGTTTTAGATTTTTCGGTTTTTAATTTTTTTGAGTTTTCACTTTTTCGATTTTTAAACATCTCGATTTATCGAAATTTCGATGTTTTATTTTTTCGATTTTTGTTTTTTTTATTCAAAATATGTATTTCAATTTTTAATTTCGATTTTTGAATTTTGGCCTATTTCATTTCTCGATTTCTCCATCTTTTGATGTTTCCATTTCTCGTCAATTTTTCGACTTTTCGGCTTTTCGATTTCTCCAAATTTTAAATTTTCGATGTCTCATTTTTCGACATTTCATTTTTGGGATTTTTCAGTTTTTCGATTTTCCAATCTTTTTACATTTTTCAATATTTCGGTTCTTCAATTTTCCGATTTATCGAGATTTCCATGTTTCTATTTTTCGATTTTTCATAATTTTTTTATTTAACATTTTTAACTTTCGAATTTTCTACTTTGGCCTGTTTCGATTTCTCGGTTTTTCAATTTTTCGATATTTCGATTTTTCAATTTTTCGATTTCCCAATTCCTTTGTCCTTTCAGTTTGGAATTTTTCAGTTTCTCGACTTTTCAATTTCTCGATTCTTCTATTTTCCAAATTTAAAATTTTTCGATTTTTAAGTTTTGGATTTTTGATTTTTCGATTCTTCAAATTGTTCTTACATTTTTCAATTATTCGACATTTCAGTTTTGGAATTTATCAATATTTCAAGTCTTAATTTTCCCATTTTCGACTTTTCTATTTCCCGATTTTCTAATTTTTCGATTTTTTTTACATTTTAGATTTTTCAATTTTGCGATTTTCGATTTCTCGATCTTTCGATTTTTAGACTGATCGATTTTAGATTTTTCGGTTTTTAATTTTTTTGAGTTTTCAATTTTTCGATTTTTAAACATCTCGATTTATCGAAATTTCGATGTTTTATTTTTTCGATTTTCAAAATATTTCAATTTTTAATTTCGATTTTTGAATTTTGGCCTATTTCGATTTCTCGATTTCTCCATCTTTTGATGTTTCCATTTCTCGTCAATTTTTCGACTTTTCGGCTTTTCGATTTTTCAATTTTACGATATTTCAGTTTAGGGATTTTTCAGTTTTTCGATTTTCAAATTTTTTGATTTTTCGTTATTTTTTTTATTTAAAATTTTTCAATTTTTCACTTCGATTTTTCAATTTTGTCCTAATTTGATTTCTCGGTTTTCCAATTTTTCGATGTTTCGATTTTTTAATTTTTCGGTTTCCCAATTTGTTTGTCCTTTCAGTTTGGAATTTTTCAGTTTCTCGACCTTTCAATTTTTCGATTCTTCTATTTTCCAAATTTTAAATTTTTCTATTTTTAAATTTTGGATTTTCGATTTTTCGATTCCTCAAATTTTTATTACATTTTTCAATTATTCGACATTTCAGTTTTGGGACTTATCAATATCAAGTCTTAATTTTCCTATTTTCGACTTATCTATTTCCCCATTTTCTAATTTTGTAGTTGTAAAGTGATCACCATAAAAAAAAAAACTTAATGTTTCCGTTTCTCGTCAATTTTTCGACTTTTCAGCTTTTCGATTTCTCGAAATTTCAAATTTTCGATTTCTCAATTTTTCGATTTTCCTTACATATGGCAATTTTCGACATTTCATTTTTGGGATTTTTCAGTTTTTCGATTTTCCAATTTTTTTTTACATTTTTCAATATTTCGGTTCGTCAATTTTCCGATTTTTCGACTTTTCTATTCTTGGATTTTCTAACTTTTCGATTTTCGAATTTTAGATTTTTCAATTTTACGATTTATCGAGATTTTGATGTTTCTGTTTTTCGATGTTTCGTTATTTTTTTATTTAACATTTTTAACTTTCGATTTTTCGATTTTGGCCTATTTCGATTTCTCGGTTTTTCAATTTTTCGACTTTATGGCTTTTCGATTTTTCGATTTTCCAATTTTTCGATGTTTCGATTTTTCAATTTTTCGTCCTTTCGGTTTGGAATTTTTCAGTTTCTCGACTTTTCAATTTTTCGATTCTTCTATTTTCCAAATTTAAAATTTTTCGATTTTTAAATTTTGGATTTTTGATTTTTGGATTCCCCAAATTTTTCTTACATTTTTCAATTATTCGACATTTCAGTTTTGGGATTTATCAATATTTCAAGTCTTAATTTTCCCATTTTCGACTTTTCTATTTCCCGATTTTCTAATTTTTTGATTTTTACATTTTAGATTTTGCGATTTTCGATTTCTCGATCTTTCGATTTTTCGACTGATCGGTTTTAGATTTTTCGGTTTTTAATTTTTTTGAGTTTTCACTTTTTTGATTTTTAAACATCTGGATTTATCGAAATTTCGATGTTTTATTTTTTCGATTTTTCGTTTTTTTTTTTTTTATTCAAAATATTTCAATTTTTAATTTCAATTTTTGAATTTTGGCCTACTTCGATTTCTGATTTCTCCATCTTTTGATGTTTCCATTTCTCGTCCATTTTTCGACTTTTCGGCTTTTCGATTTCTCGAAATTTCAAATTTTCGATTTCTCAATTTTTCGAAATTTCAGTTTGGGGATTTCTCGATTTTTCGATTTTTCGATTGCTAGGTCTTAGATTTTCCGGTTTTTAAATAATTTTTCGATTTTTCAGTTTTTCGATTTTTCGTTATTTTTTTTTTTTAATTTAAAATTTTTCAATTTTTCACTTCGATTTTTCAATTTTGATCGATTTTGATTTCTCGGTTTTTCAATTTTTCCATGTTTCGATTTTTCAGGTTTTCGATTTCCCAATTTTTTTGTCCTTTCAGTTTGAAATTTTGCAGTTTCTCGATTTTTCAATTTTTCGGTTCTTCTATTTTCCAAATTTTAAATTTTTCGATTTTTAAATTTTGGATTTTTCATTCTTCGATTCCTCAAATTTTTCTTACATTTTTCAATTTTTCGAAATTTCAGTTTGGGGATTTCTCGATTTTTCGATTTTTCGATTGCTAGGTCTTAGATTTTTCGGTTTTTAAATATTTTTTCGATTTTTCAGTTTTTCGATTTTTCGTTATTTTTTTTTTTATTTAAAATTTTTCGATTTTTCAATTTTGTTCGATTTTGATTTCTCGGTTTTTCAATTTTTCGTTGTTTCTATTTTTCAGTTTTTCGATTTCCCAATTTTTTTGTCCTTCCAGTTTTGAATTTTTCAGTTTTTCGATTTTTAAATTTTGGATTTTTGATTGTTCGATTCCCCAATTTTTTCTTACATTTCTCAATTATTCAACATTTCAGTTTTGGGATTTATCAATATCAAGTCTTAATTTTCCCATTTTCGACTTTTCTATTTCCCGATTTTCTAATTTTTCGATTTTTACATTTTCGATTTTCGATTTCTCGATCTTTCGATGTTTTTTTCCGATTTTTCGTTTTTTTTATTCAAATTATTTCAATTTTTAATTTTTCGACTTTCCAGCTTTTCGATTTCTCGAAATTTCAAATTTTCGATTTCTCAATTTTTCGATATTTCAGTTTGGGGATTGCTCAATTTTTCAATTTTCCTTACATATGGCAATTTTTCGACATTTCATTTTTGGGAATTTTTGAGTTTTTCGATTTTCCAATTTTTTACATTTTTCAATATTTCGGTTCTTCAATTTTCCGATTTTTCGACTTTTTTATTCTTCGATTTTTCGTTATTTTTTTATTTAACATTTTTAACTTTAGATTTTTCGATTTTCCAATTTTTCGATGTTTCGATTTTTCAATTTCCCAATTTTTCGTCCTTTCAGTTTGGAATTTTTCAGTTTCTCGATTTTTCAATTTTTTATTCTTCTATTTTACAAGTTCTCAATTTTTCGATTTTTTAAATTTTGAACTTTCGATTTTTTGTTTTCTAAAAGTTTAGTTCCTCAAATAAATTAGTTTTTTTTGCCTTTCTTCTTTTTTGTGACAGAATTTCTTAATTTTCCGTTTCTGGTTCTTAGTCTTTAAGTTCATTCGCATTTTCAGAAGGTTAAATCAGTAATTAATTTAATTTTAATACTTCCCTCACCTCGGAAATATACAGGGTGAGTCACTAAGCGCGCGGTCCTCGATATCTCATTAATTATTAGAAACACAAAAGAATCCAAAAACATAAAGTTGTTCGGTTCTTTGAACACTATATTTTAAATTCAGTTTTTTTTTAATCAGACACCATATATATTTTGACATATATATTTTGACTGACATGTTCATAAAGTCTTTACAACCACAGTTTACTTTAGAAATTCTATTGCGACATTGCCACGTTGTTCCAATTTTCTGGAAATTATATGACAATGAAAGGTTAACTTTATAATTTTCAAATATCGATGTTCTAGTTTGTTTTTTTTCAAATAATAGTGTAGTAACTATCTACTTTAAACCTAGGAAATAAAAGATACAGAACAAAAAGAGAATGAGGTATACTAATAAAATACAGGGTGTTCTAGTTGAAAAAACTGAAATATCGATATTTGAAAATTGTAATATCTAATTAAAATAAATTGTGGTTGCAAAGCCTAATAAGAGATCAATTAAAATATGTATCTAAAGATACTTAGGGTGCTTCATTTTAAAAAACTAAGTTGTGTTACGCCTTAAAAACAGAACATCGGTAAAGTTAAAGATAATTTTAGAGTATATAATCAGATAAGTCAGGTTTATTAAATAAATTATTATGTAACAAAAATGTAACAAAAAATTAATATGTTATTCTTATAAGTGACAAGTACGTAAAACTTTAACTACGTTTGTTCTCTCTGAGCAAATATAACTATTTATATATTAAGTCGAAAAGAGACCGCATTTTTTAAAGTTGAAGGTCCCTTCCTACAAGTCTAGGATGTGCAGTCGTTGACTCGAATGCAAAATTCTTCACCCATTTGAAATAAAACAGTATAACTCGTACTACTTCACAATGACATTTTATATCTACAACCACCTTCTTCAATACTAAATTCAGAATATGTAGGGCACAGACACGCCCAAATAAACCGGACTAATCCATGAACAACCGTCTACAATAATCACGATTGCGCAAGAATAATGTATCTATTAGGAGAACAAAATATGCTTACAACAATCCGCTCATTTTTTTTCGCAACACTCCGCAAACTCAAAATACCATGTTGATCACTCATGCTGACCTCCACGAGGGAATGCTTTGGATGAAATTTTTCTTCAAATTTTCTTTTACACAAAAGGAACTTTCTGGGCCCACTCTCGTTGAGTAACATGCAATACCTCCTCGCCTGCATTAACCTTAACATATTGTAATATGGTCTAGATCAAGAGGTATCCTTGTACTTGAATTAAACTCGTTATTTCGTGGTGGAGCAATATCTTGATATAGGTTCGTACTTTGTAAAAATGAAAAGTTGATTCACATTCAGTTGGACCAAACCAGTTTGGGGTTCGCCAAATATTAATCGCTATAAAAGCGACCCGTGCTTGAAATTTCGGTACATTCGTCCACCAACGATCTACCAAGTACCACTAAAATGGCATTCAGGGTACTACCATACCAACTTATTCAAACTTCAACTAAATTGTTTTAATTTTCCAGCTCGTAGTTTTGTGCGCCGCTTTGGCTTGCGCCAACGCTGGATACCTCGGCGGTTACGCTGCCGCCCCCGCTTTGGCCTACGGTGCCGCCCCTGCCTTGGCCTACGGAGCCGCTCCCGCTTTGGCCTACGGCGCCGCCGCCCCCACCCTCGGCAGCACCTACCACGGCAGACTCGCCTCCCCCGCCGTAGCTTACGCCGCCCCCGCCGCTCTCGCCGCCCCAGCCATCACCTCCCAGCACTCCAACATCATCCGCAGCTTCGGCAACTTGGGACAAGTCTCCACTTACTCCAAGAGCATCGACACCCCCTTCTCCAGCGTCCGCAAACACGACATCCGTGTGTCCAACCCCGGAGTTAGGACCGCCATCGCCGCCGCCCCCGCCGTAGCCTACGGAGGATACGCCGCCCCAGCCATCAGCACCTACCACGGAGGCTATGCCGCCCCAGCCATCAGTGCCTACGCCGCCCCAGCCATCGGCGCCTATGCTTCCCACGCCATCGCCGCCCCAGCCGTCGGCGTCGCTTACTCCGCCGCCCCCGCCGTGTCCCACCTCACCTACGCCTCCAACTACGCCAACTACGGATGGTAAACGTGGTAGATCGACACAGACTGACGTCACCTATTTATTTATTGACTATTTTCTTGTTAATTTATGTTTCTTCAAATAAAAGTATAAAATTTTAACTAGAATTTTTATTTAAATAAGAAAGTGTACAGTTTTTGACGAATTTTGAAACTGTCAAAGAAAGCAAATTTCTCGTAGATTCCGAATCTGAAAGTGTTTTTTGTCAAAATTTTCAACTAAGCCAGAAAATTTTTGACATTATCAAAAGGGGCAATAATCCTGCAGGGAAAGACTTGTTTTCTTTTCTCGTAGCAAATTTTCCACAGATTTCCAATGTACAATTGGTACTTTCGCTCCATGGTCGCCAGCCGCCGCCTTTCTACCACAGGAAACCCTTCACTAAAAATTTTGGATTTTCGAATTTTGTTTTTGATTTTTTCAAGTTTTTTGAGGATGTTTCAAAATTTTTAAAAATTCTTGAACTTTTTTTGAAGATTTTTCAAAAATGTTCAAGATTTTCTCGCTTTTTTTCAGGATTTTTCTTTTTAAATCTCTTGAAGATTTTCTAATTTTTTTAAATTATTTAAAGATAATTGTTTTTTTCAATTTCTGAAGATTTTAAAGTTTTTTTACAGTTTTGTGTTAAGATTTTTAGGTCTTCCTTTTTTTAGTTCTAAGAATCTCGGGGATCTCATGACTCTTGTTTTTGAAGTAATTTAAAAGAATGTCGGGGATTCCTTGTGTATGGTTTTTGACATAGTTTGAAAGAATCTCGGGGATTTTCCTGTGTATTGTTTTTAAAGCTTTTTAAAGAGATTGTTCAAGATTTTTAGAAGATTTTTTTAATTTTTTTAAGGATTCTGAAGTTTTGTTAAGGTTTTCATATCTTCTTAAGTTTTTGAAGCATTTTATTAATTTTGAAGTTTTTTTTTAACATTTTCCTTTTTCTTGAATTTTTTTGAAGATTTTTTTCAAAATATTTTAGTTTTTTAGGGTTAGTTTAACGACGTCTGATTGGCGTAGAGTCAGTCACGTGGTATTTTAATGCGATGTTAAAAATTTAATCGCAGTCAAGTATTTAACTGAGCTTCTGTTGCTTGTTTTCAAAGATTTCCCCTGTTGTTTTTGATTTTTTCAACTTTTTTGAAGATTTTTCAATTTTTAAAGATTCTTCAATTTTTTTTTTAAGATTTTTTGAATTTTTCAGGACTTTCTCGCTTTCGTCAAGATTCGTCAAGTAGTTTAAATTTTCTCAAGTTTTATCAATTTTTTAAATTTTTTTGAAGATTATGCGTTTTTTTTATTTCTAAAGATTGTCAAGATTTTTTACAGATTTATTTTAGGATTTTCAAGATTTTTCAAAATTTGTATTTTGTTTAATTTTTAAGAATCTCAAAGAGACTGTTCAAGATTTTTTAAAGATTTTTTTATTTTTTCAAGGGTTTTGAAGTTTTTCAAGATTTTTAATTTTTGTAAGGTTTTTCAATCGCTTTTTTAAATTTCAAGATTTTTTTAACATTTTCTTTTTTCTTGATTTTTTTGAAGATTTTTTCAAGATATTTCCGTTTTTTAGATAGAGTCAGTTTATGCAATATTTTAACTGTGATTAAAAGTTAATCACACATTTAACGAGATTCTTCCTTTTTAAATTTCTTGAATATTCTTCAATTTTTTGATTTTTTTTAAATTACTCATTTTTTTGAATTTTTAAAAATTTTCAAGATTTTTTACAGATTTGTTTTAAGATTTTCAAAATGTTTTCAAAATTTTTCCTATTTTTTTAAATTTTAAGAATTTCGAGGATTACATGAGTCTTGTTTTTGAAGTAATTTAAAGAATCTAGGGGATTCCTTGTCTACGGTTTTTGAACTAGTTTGAAAGAATCTCGGGGATTTTCCTGTGTATTGTTTTTAAAGCTATTTAAAGAGATTGTTCAAGATTTTTTAAAGATTTTTTTTATTTTTTTAAGGATTCTGAAGTTTTTTAAGGTTTTCATATCTTCTTAAGTTTTTGAAGCATTTTATTAATTTTCAAGTTTTTTTTAACATTTTCCATTTTCTTGAATTTTTTTGAAGATTTTTTTTTTAATATTTCAGTTTTTTAAGGCTAGTTTATATAATATTTTAACTGGGATTAAGTTAATCACGCATTTAACGAGGCGTTTAACGACGTCTGATTGGCGTAGAGTCAGTCACGTGGTATTTTAATGGGATGATGTTAAAAATTTAATCGCAGTCAAGTTTTTAACTGAGCTTCTGTTGCTTGTTTTCAAAGATTTCCCCTGTTGTTTTTGATTTTTTCAACTTTTTTGAAGATTTTTCAATTTTTAAGATTCTTCAATTTTTTTTAAGATTTTTTAAATTTTTTCAAGACTTTCTCGCTTTCGTCAAGATTCGTCAAGTAGTTTAAATTTTCTGAAGATTTATCAATTTTTAAAATTTTTTTGAAGATTACGCGTTTTTTTTATTTCTAAAGATTTTCAAGATTTTTACAGATTTATTTTTGGATTTTCAAGATTTTTCAAAATTTGTCTTTTGTTTAAATTTTAAGAATCTCAAGACCACATGAGTCTTGAGTAATTTAAAGAGACTGTTCAAGATTTTTTAAAAATTTTTTTTATTTTTTAAGGGTTTTGAAGTTTTTCAAAATTTTTAATTTTTGTAAGGTTTTTCAATCGCTTTTTTAAATTTCAAGATTTTTTTTTAACATTTTCTTTTTTCTTGATTTTTTTTGAAGTTTTTTACTTCCCGAGCGTAAGCAAAGGAAGTATTGTAATCGAGTCCGTCGGCCGACTCTCTACTTTTACGTTTTCTCGATCTTTCATGACCCCTAGAAGACGAAGAAATAGGTCTCCCATTTCCGTCTGTCTGTCCGTCTGTCCGTCTGTCCGTCTGTCCGTCTGTCCGTCCGTCTGTCCGTCTGTCCGTCTGTCCGTCTGTCCGTCTGTTGTCCCGGATTTTTATTAGACAGATAATCTCCGAAAGTACTCGACCGATTGTTGTGAAATTTTGTACTTATATTAAGAATATCATGTAGATGGTAAAACGCTAACCAAAATTTGTCTAATCATCCCCACCACTAAAGCGATGACGTCACTTCAAAATTGTACATAGTAAATGGGTTTTCAATTGTATAAAATAACATAGTCCTACACATGTAGTTTACAACTCTGAATCGACTTTTCACCCGAAACGTCCAGATTTTTGGAAAAAAAATCAAAATTATAAAACAACATTTTGAAATTTAATTTTTAATCTGCTAACCAGAATGCTTTGAAATCTTGCAGATGTTTTAAGGTCATAAAGAGCATAATAAATGTTTAGTCAAAATATATTTGCTTATCCCCTCCAAAAACTTGATGACGTCAGCTCGAAAGTTTGCCGAATAAATCATATCTAAAATGTACAAAATATGATGAGCCTGTACTTGTCATTTATCACTCCATTCATATTTTTTGGATTTGCATATACAGAGTGACTCAAAAAAATTAATGAATGCGCAAATATATTTTATTGATTTAATCAGGAACTACAAAACGGAATGCTCTGACATCTTGGGAATATTCTAAAGTTATTATAAGCATGGTAAACTTTTATTCAAAATGTATTTGTTCATCCCTCCTAAAAAAATTGATGACGTCACCCTTAAATTTTGCTGAATAAATCCTATCTAAAATGCAAAAAATATGATGAGTTTGTACTTGTGATTTATCATTCCATTCATATTTTTTAGATTTTCTTAAGAGGTGGTTCAAAAAAATTAATGAAGTCAATTTATTTTATTGATTAAATTAAAGGCAACACTTATTATTAGTATTACACCCCAACCAACCCAATTTGGTAGACAAAAAATTTGTTAAAGGAAAAACTCGGTTGAAACATAAGGGTAGCATGCTTATTTACATCGACTTTAACATTACAGACCTGCATTTGTTTTATGCGTTCACTTGGTTCCGCGAATGTGAAATAGACATGTTTATAATCAACCAATTGTGAATTTCACCGTCAAGAATTAAAATAAAACCCAATGTTTTATATAATAAGCGGAAGTCGAAGCAATAAAACCGATGGTCGTTTTGTTTACAGTTTCTCTGTTTGACTCTCAAGTATGCTGTTACGCCTGTCATCTTAAATTAAGAATGTTTATACATACACGATTTTCAGCTGCCTGGGATACGTATACGTGAGTAAATTGTTTCGTTATTTTATTGATTATTACAAATCAATATTCAAAACGACCCAATTCATTTTCCCGAAAATTTGAGAATATAATAATTTTATTCTTAGTATTACACTACATCTATCCCAAACTGATATACGTGTCCTTGCAAAAATGTTGATGACGTCATCGCATTTTTTTTTTAAATTCCCACTACAAAAATGTAATGAGAAAAAACACAATAGGCATGCAGTCGTCAAGTTTCCGACAGCGAGGGAAGTACTGTCTAAACTCTTTAGACCAATTGTTTCAAGATATTTCCGTTTTTTAGATAGAGTCAGTTTATACAATATTTTAACTGGGATTAAAAGTTAATCACACATTTAACGAGATTCTTCCTTTTTAAATTTCTTGAAGATTCTTCAATTTTTTGATTTTTTTTTAAATTATTCATTTTTTTTGAATTTTATAAAAATTTTCAAGGTTTTTTACAGATTTGTTTCAAGATTTTCAAAATTTTTTCAAAATTTTTCCTATTTTTTTAAATTTTAAGAATTTCGAGGATTACATGAGTCTTGCTTTTGAAGTAATTTAAAGAATCTAGGGGATTCCTTGTCTACGGTTTTTGAACTAGTTTGAAAGAATCTCGGGGATTTTCCTGTGTATTGTTTTTAAAGCTATTTAAAGAGATTGTTCAAGATTTTTTAAAGATTTTTTTTATTTTTTTAAGGATTCTGAACTTTTTTAAGGTTTTCATATCTTCTTAAGTTTTTGAAGCATTTTATTAATTTTCAAGTTTTTTTTTTTTACATTTTCCTTTTTCTTGAATTTTTTTGAAGATTTTTTTCAAAATATTTCAGTTTTTTAGGGCTAGTTTATATAATATTTTAACTGGGATTAAGTTAATCACGCATTTAACGAGGCGTTTAACGACGTCTGATTGGCGTAGAGTCAGTCACGTGGGATTTTAAAGCGATGTTAAAAATTTAATCGCAGTCAAGTATTTAACTGAGCTTCTGTTGCTTGTTTTCAAAGATTTCCCCTGTTGTTTTCGATTTTTTCAAGTTTTTTGAAGATTTTTCAGTTTTTAAAGATTCTTCAATTTTTTTAAAGATTTTTTGAGTTTTTCAAGACTTTCTCGCTTTCGTCAAGATTCGTCAAGTAGTTTAAATTTTCTGAAGATTTATCAATTTTTTTAATTTTTTTTAAGATTATGCGTTTTTTTTATTTCTAAAGATTTTCAAGATTTTCTACAGATTTATTTTAGGATTTTCAAAATTTTTCAAAATTTGTCTTTTTTTTAAATTTTAAGAATCTCAAGATCACATGACTCTTGAGTAATTTAAAGAGACTGTTCAATATTTTTTAAAGATTTTTTTATTTTTTCAAGGGTTTTGAAGTTTTTCAAGATTTTTAATTTTTGTAAGGTTTTTCAATCGCTTTTTCAAATTTCAAGATTTTTTTTAACATTTTCTTTTTTCTTGATTTTTTTTTGAAGATTTTTTCAAGATATTTCCGTTTTTTAGATAGAGTCAGTTTATACAATATTTTAACTGGGATTAAAAGTTAATCACACATTTAACGAGATTCTTCCTTTTTAAATTTCTTGAAGATTCTTCAATTTTTTGATTTTTTTTAAATTATTCATTTTTTTGAATTTTTAAAAATTTTCAAGATTTTTTACAGATTTGTTTTAAGATTTTCAAAATTTTTTCAAAATTTTTCCTATTTTTTTAAATTTTAAGAATTTCGAGGATAACATGAGTCTTGTTTTTGAAGTAATTTAAAGAATCTAGGGGATTTCTTGTCTACGGTTTTTGAACTAGTTTGAAAGAATCTCGGGGATTTTCCTGTGTATTGTTTTTAAAGCTATTTAAAGAGATTGTTCAAGATATTTTAAAGATTTTTTTATTTTTTTAAGGATTCTGAAGTTTTTTAAGGTTTTCATATCTTCTTAAGTTTTTGAAGCATTTTATTAATTTTGAAGTTTTTTTTTAACATTTTCCTTTTTCTTGAATTTTTTTGAAGATTTTTTTTTAAATATTTCAGTTTTTTAGGGCTAGTTTATATAATATTTTAACTGGGATTAAGTTAATCACGCATTTAACGAGGCGTTTAACGACGTCTGATTGGCGTAGAGTCAGTCACGTGGTATTTTAATGCGATGTTAAAAATTTAATCGCAGTCAAGTATTTAACTGAGCTTCTGTTGCTTGTTTTCAAAGATTTCCCCTGTTGTTTTTGATTTTTTTTACTTTTTTGAAGATTTTTCAGTTTTTAAAGATTCTTCAATTTTTTTTAAGATTTTTTGAGTTTTTCAAGACTTTCTCGCTTTCGTCAATATTCGTCAAGTAGTTTAAATTTTCTGAAGATTTATCAATTTTTTAATTTTTTTTGAAGACAATGCGTTTTTTTTATTTCTAAAGATTTTCAAGATTTTTTTCAGATCTATTTTAGGACTTTCAAGACTTTTCAAAATTTGTCTTTTGTTTAAATTTTAAGAATCTCAAGATCACATGAGTCTTGAGTAATTTAAAGAGACTGTTCAAGATTTTTTAAAGATTTTTTTATTTTTTTCAAGGGTTTTGAAGTTTTTCAAGATTTTTAATTTTTGTAAGGTTTTTCAATCGCTTTTTTAAATTTCAAGATTTTTTTAACATTTTCTTTTTTCTTGATTTTTTTTGAAGATTTTTTCAAGATATTTCCGTTTTTTAGATAGAGTCAGTTTATACAATATTTTAACTGGGATTAAAAGTTAATCACACATTTAACGAGATTCTTCCTTTTTAAATTTCTTGAATATTCTTCAATTTTTTGATTTTTTTTAAATTACTCATTTTTTTGAATTTTTAAAAATTTTCAAGATTTTTTACAGATTTGGTTCAAGATTTATAAAATTTTATGACAAGAATTTTTATTTAAATAGGAAAGTGTATGGTTTTTGACAAATTTTGAAACTGTCAAAGGAAGAAAAATTCTCGTAGATTCCAAATCTGAAAGTGTTTTTTCTCAAAATTTTCAACTAAGCGAGAACATCGAAAAATCAAAATTTTCAAAATTTTAACATTTTCAAAAGGGGCAATAATCCTACAGGGAAAGACTTGTTTTCTTTTTCTCCTAGAAAGTTTTCCACAGATTCTGAAATCAAAGCTGTTTTTTTCTCTAAACAACAAAAAAACCCAGTTTTTCAAAAAATTTTGAAATGATTAAAGGACTCCTCGGAGTCCTCGGGAAAAAAGTTCCATGCAGCAAATTTTCCATAGAATTCGAATGTGAAAGCAGTACTTTCGTTCCCTGGTCACCAGCCGCCTTTCTACCACAGGAAGCCCTTCTGTCCAAATTTAGGATTTTCGAATTTTTCGAATTTGCCGCCACGCCCCGACCTGTCAACCCGAAGCGTCCATTCTCAGGTCGAATCAAAATAAACCAAAAGGTGAATTAACCACAAATGATGTGAGAGCCGTTGCCTCCGAAAAATGCAGTCGGGCCTCCTCAACTGAATCTCCCCCATCGCCAAGACGCACTGCCACTTTTCCCGCACCCAAAAATAAACAAACGCACATAACCTCAATCTTCCACCGCCGCAAGAAAATGGTAAGGAAACGCTCCCGCAAGTACGAGAGCGACGACAACGACAGCGACAGCGACCTAGACTGCGACTTCGAGACCCAGTCGAGGCCGGCGCCCAAGAAGTACAGCCTGCGGGAGCGCAAGGCCCCCTTGTTCACCACGGACTTCGACTACTACGGGCTCGACGAAGACGACGCCGAGGCGCGGAAGCAGTCCACGGACGACGAGGACTTCCAGGTGGAGGCGGACGTGAACGGGGCGAGGAGCTTCTTCGAGCCGGACCCGGACGTGGACCCCCAGAATTCTGAAGGTATACAGATTTGAGTTACGAGGGTAAAGTTGAGCCGTTCGAAAACGATTTATCAGGACGAAGAGCTCAGATTTTCTATAGTTTAATCGGAAAATAAAGCCTAAATAAAAAAAAATCGTTCATGAAGTGTTGTCACTCGTAGGTGTATAGTTGGTTGCATACACACCAAGCGAGCTTTTCGTCCTGACGAATCCTTTCGCAAACGGATCCAAAATGTTGACTTTGACAGGTCTGATCGATTTTGAGGACATAATAAGGGCCGACATCGTGGTCAACAAGAATAAGATAGACTATGACAATATGATACAGAAGACGGAGATTAAATTGACGCAGCAGCCGAAAAAGCGGGGTCGGAAGCCGAAAATCCGACCCGACGGCGACATCAAGAAGGAAGAACCGACTGAGACTCAGTTTGTGTGTGAGCCAGATTTGGGTAGTCTCGAATTGCAGAAGCAAGAGATCGAGGAAGTGAAGGAGGAGAGGACTGAAAACCCACAAGACGCTAAAGATAAAAGCGAAGGGCTTCCGAATGGCGACGTTTTGGAAGGTTTGGAGAACGGTGATACCCAAAAGGGGGACAGCGAGTCCCCGGGGAAGGAACGAAATAGTATAGAGATGGTGATGTTAGAACCTCCTCCTATCCAGGAGGAGGATAAACAGGAAGACGAAGACGACGATGTTATTGTTTTGGGTGAGCTTAAACAGGATGTCATTGTTTTAGATGACTGAGCGAGCGCAATGACTTGTATATAGGGTGTATAGTTTAATCATGTATTGAGTTATTAGTGGTTATTTTGTTCAGACTTTATTAGATGTATTTATTGATTCGATTTGTGTAAGATGATTAAATAAACCGTAGTCATTTTACGTCGACGTGAACTTGTTGAAGCCACTAAACACCGTTTTATTATTTTCAGAGTTTTCTTTAAATAAAAAATTGCGCATAAATTAAAATCACATTTTTTTCACACCACTTCACTGTCCTCAGTTTCCACGTCCCCACTGTGTTCGCCGTTGTCGATTATGATGAATTTGGGCCGGGGGGCGCGAATGGGGGCTGTGAACGTCGATAGCTTACCAGCTTCGATGAGCTCCATGTCTTTGACCACCTGTCTGTACACCCGGTCTGAAATTCCTGTCGCTTCTATAAGTCTTTGTTTGTAGTTGCTAATGGGTATTACGGGGGCTCCTTTCGTGGCTTCTTTCTTCATAAATCGTAACACGTTGGCTATGACTTCGCGACTCTGGGAGTTCACGATTCTGCCACGAACCCCCACTTGTTTGTCGTGCGGCATTTTGTGACCCGCTGTAAATATAAGGTGGTTGGAACACGTCTGGAGGTTTATAAAACTCACTTTTGGCCGGGTTTGAATTGTAAATACAAATTTAAACTAAATGACACAGCTGACATGTGTCAATGTCATTGGGTACCAATCGCCGAAGTTAAAATCACTAGAGGTTTCGGGCCATGTTTAAGTTGGTAATGGAACGTCAATCAAATTTTAAATTTAAAAAATGTCAAGTGGTACTTTTTTTGAAAGATTTTTTAAATAGAAATTGTTTCAGGGGGCTTAGTACGTGCTAATCTAAGAGCAATTTGGGCAAATGACACCCTCTAAGAAAATAGAGGGCGAAGCTGAAAATTTTCGTCAATTTAAAGTCTTGACAGTTTCAGTTTTCTCAGGGTCGAATTTTTGAAAACAAAAAAAAATTCTTGAATGTTTAATAATAAAAATTTCAATAAACGTGGGTGAAAGACAGAATTTGTGGAAATTTTGAAATATCGATTTCCAAAGATTTCTAGTGAAATAATTTAGAGATTGTTTATAAAATAGTTTTTAAGAATTTTCCAAAAATGTAACACCATGTATCGCAGGCAAGTATTTAATTGAGGTTCTGTAAACCGGATCTTAAAGATTTGTTTTCAAAGATTTTCCCTTTTGTTTTTGATTTTTTCAAGTTTTTTGAAGATTTTTCAAAGTTTTTAAAGATTCTTAAATTTTTTTCATGATTATTTAAAAAATGTTCAAGATTTTTTAAAGATTTTTTTTATTTTTTCAAGGATTCTGAAGTTTTTTTAAGGTTTTTCACATTTTATTAAGTTTTTTAAGCATTTTATTAATTTTCAAGTTTTTTTTAACATTTCCCTTTTACTGAATTTTTTTGAAGATTTTTTCAAAATATTTCCGTTTTTTAGGGCCAGTTTATACAATATTTTAACTGGGATTAAGTTAATCACGCATTTAACGAGGCGTTTAGCGAAGTCTGATTGGCGTAGTCAGTCACGTGGTATTTTAACGCCATGTTAAAAATTTAATTGCAGTGAAGTATTTAATTGAGCTTCTGTTGATTGTTTTCAAGGTTTCCCCTGTTGTTTTTGATTTTTTCAAGTTTTGAAGTTTTTCGAGATTTTTAAGTTTTCTAAGATTTTTCATATTTTCCTAAGTTTTTTAATTGTCAAGTTTTCTTTTTAACATTTTCTTTTCAAGATTCTTTCTTTTTAAATTTCTTGAAAATTTTTCAAGATTCTTCAAGATTTTCAAGAATTTTTACAGATTTATTTTAGGATTTTCAAGATTTTTCAAAATGTTTCTTTTGTTTAAATTTTAAGAATCTCAGGATCACATGAGTCTTGTTTCTGGAGTAATTTCAAGAGATTGTTCAAGGTTTTTTAAAGATTTTTTTTATTTTTTCAAGATTTTTTAAGTTTTTCAAGATTTTTAATTTTTGTAAGGTTTTTCATACTTTTGTGAGTTTTTTAAACACGTTTTTAGTTTTCAAGATTTTTTTACATTTTCTTTCTTCTTGAATTTTTTTGAAGATTTTTTCCAACAATATTTTATGTGGGATTAAGTTAATCACACATTTAATGAAACGTTTAATGGTCTTAAAGGGTCTTAAAGATTTCTTTTTAAAGATTTCCCCTTTTGTTTTTGATGTTTTCAAGTTTTTTGAAGATCTTTCAAGGTTTTTAAATATTCTTCAATTTTTTGAGCTTTTTTGAAAAATTTTCAAGATTTTCTCGCTTTTTTCAAGATTTTTCCTTTTTTAAATTTCTTGAAGATTCTTCAATTTTTTTATTTTTGTTGAAAATTATTCGTTTTTTTGAATTTTTAAAAATCTTCAAGACTTTTTAAAGATTTTTAATTTTTTCAAGAGTTTTGAAGTTTTTCAAGACTTTTAAGTTTTCTGAGGTTTTTCATATTTTCCCAAGTTTTTTAATTTTCAAGTTTGTTTTTTAATATTTTTCTCTTTTTGAAAATTTTTCAAGATTCTTTTTAAATTTTTTGAAGATTTTTCAAGATTTTTCAATTTTTTAATTTTTTTTCAAGATTTTTGAATCTCCGAAGATTTTTTTTTTTGATTTCCAAGATTTGTTTTAAAATTTTTCCTTTTGTTTTAATTCGAAGGATCTGAGGGACCATTTGTGACTTGTATCTGGTTTTTGAAGTACTTTTGAAGAATCTCGGGGAACCCTTTTGTTTTTTTTAAGCAGTTTTATCGAATTTTGGGAACCCCTTGTGTTTTGAATTACTTTGAAAGAAGCTGAGGGATTTCTTTTGTTTTTGAAGTAGTTTAAAGAATCTCGAGGACGCGTTGTGTCTAGCTTTTGAAGTAGTTTGAAAGAATCTCAGGGATCCCTTTTGTTTTGTTTTTGAAGTAGTTTGAGAGAATTGTGGAGATCCCTTGTCTCGTTTTTGAAGTAGATTGAAAGAATCTCGGAGACTCCTTTTGGTTTATTTTTGAACTTCATAGTTTGAAAGAATCTCGGGAACTCCTAGTGGTTTATTTTTGAAGTAGTTTAAAAGAATCTCGGGAGCACCCTGTGGTTTACTTTTGAAAATTTTACTGTGTCCAAAGTTATCAAGAATTTTCCAAAATGCTATCTAGATAAATTTTTAATCCTTGATGAAAATTTTCATCGGAGCAAAAATCAATCTCGGTTATGTCGAGATTAAAGTTTTTTGTTTTTCCGAAAATTTTGGAATTATCAAACACATTTTTCGTGAATTTTAGAATCTTTCGAAATTTCAAATAAAAAAAAAAATACCAAAGACATATCAAAAAATCAGTATAGCGGTGTTCAAACATTTTTGAAAACTAAATTCATAACAATGATAATCTTCCGCTACTTACGATTCTGAAATCGCCGTCCCGATATCTGGTCCAATAAACACGTAAAGTGAATTCAAAATTTCCAAAAATTTTCCAAAAAAGTGCTTAAAATTGGGTTAATCGACCGAAAATTGGTGTCAAATTGTAGATAATCTTTCGCTAGTTACGATTTTGAAAACGCCGTCACGATATCTGGTCCAATAAAGCCGAAAAATGAATTCAAAATTTCCAAAAATTTTCCAAAAAAGTGGTTAAAATTGGGTTAATCGACCGGAAATTAGTGTCAAATTGTAGATAATCTTCCGCTAGTTGCGATTCTAAAATCGCCAGCACGATATCTGGTCAAATAAAGCCGAAAAGTGAATTTAAAATTTCCAAAAATTTTCCAAAAAAGTGCTTAAAATTGGGTTAATCAACCGAAAATTGGTGTCAAATTGTGGATAATCTTCCGCTAGTTACGATCCTGAAATCGCCAGCACGATATCTGGTCAAATAAAGCCGAAAAGTGAATTTAAAATTTCCAAAGATTTTCCAAAAAAGTGCTTAAAATTGGGTTAATCGACCGGAAATTAGTGTCAAATTGTAGATAATCTTCCGCTAGTTACGACTCTGAAAACGACGTCAAGATATCTGGTCCAATAAACACGCAAAGTTAATTCAAAATTTCCAAAAATTTTCCAAAAAAGTGGTTAAAATTGGGTTAATCCACCGAAAATTGGTGTTAAATTGTAGATAATCTTCCGCTAGTTACGACTCTGAAATCGTTGTCACGATATCTGGTCCAATAAACACGTAAAGTGAATTCAAAATTACCAAAAATTTTCCAAAAAAGTGGTTAAAATTGGGTTAATCGACCGAAAATTGGTGTCAAATTGTAGACAATCCTGCGCTAGTTACGATTCTGAAAACGCCCTCACGATATCTGGTCCAATAAAGCCGAAAAGTGAATTCAAAATTTCCAAAAATTTTCCAAAAAAGTGCTTAAAATTGGGATAATCGACCGAAAATTGGTGTCAAATTGTGGATAATCTTCCGCTAGTTACGATTCTGAAATCGCCAGCATGATATCTGGTCAAATAAAGCCGAAAAGTGAATTTAAAATTTCCAAAAATTTTCCAAAAAAGTGCTTAAAATTGGGTTAATCGACCGAAAATTAGTGTCAAATTGCAGATAAACTTCCGCTAGTTACGATTCTGAAAACGACGTCAAGATATCTGGTCCAATAAACACGCAAAGTGAATTCAAAATTTCCAAAAATTTTCCAAAAAAGTGCTTAAAATTGGGTTAATCCACCGAAAATTGGTGTCAAATTGTAGATAATCTTCCGCTAGTTACGACTCTGAAATCGCCGTCCCGACATCTGGTCCAATAAACACGCAAAGTGAATTCAAATTTACTAAAAATTTTCCAAAAAAGTGGTTAAAATTGGTTTATTCGACCGAAAATTGGTGTCAAATTGTAGACAATCTTCCGCTAGTTACGATTCTGAAAACGACGTCAAGATATCTGGTCCAATAAACACGCAAAGTGAATTCAAAATTTCCTAAAATTTTCCAAAAAAGTGGTTAAAATTGGGTTAATCGACCGAAAATTGGTATCAAATTGTAGATAATCTTCCGCTAGTTACGATTCTGAAATCGCCGTCCCGATATCTGGTCCAATAAACACGCAAAGTGAATTCAAATTTACCAAAAATTTTCCAAAAAAGTGGTTAAAATTGGGTTAATCGACGGGAAATTGGTGTTAAATTGTAGATAATCTTCCGCTAGTTACGATTCTGAAAACGCCGTTACGATATCTGGTCCAATAAAGCCGAAAAGTGAATTCAAAATTTCCAAAAATTTTCCAAGAAAGTGGGTAAAATTGGTTTAATCGACCGAAAATTGGTGTCAAATTGTAGATAATCTTCCGCTAGTTACGATTCTGAAAACGCCGTCACGATATCTAGTCCAATTAAGCCGAAAAGTGAATACAAATTTTCCAAAAATTTTCCAAAAAAGTGCTTAAAATTGGATTAATCGACCGGAAATTGGTGTCAAATTGTAGAATACATATTTTTTAAGACGTTACATGTTTTAGCTATAAAACTTTACATTTGATAGATCAATTTTTAATCTCAGTTGAAAATTTTCGTCGACTCTTTCAGAATCGAACTTCTGCATTCTGTTGCACCAAAAAATATCATGAATTTTAGATTTTTTGTAGTGTAGTCTTTTGAATACCTCTCGTACATACTACAATTTGTTTTAAACCATTCTTGTACACATTTCAAACAACTATGTGTTATGCAACCCTTCTTACAGTCGTGTAATGCAAGCAACCTGCTTATCTCAGTTTCGCTGTCAAATGTCATTTTAAGTAAGATTTCCTAACCTCGTTAAATTTAAAACCCGAAATAATGTCCAACAAAGGGGCCCTAGCCCTCCTGGCTGATTACGAAGGCAACAGTTCCGACGAAGAGGCCCCCAGCAGGTGTTTTTCAACCAAGAGACTGCACAGAGATGAAGAAAATGAAGAAATAAGAATAAAACGTGTGACAAAGTTTGTAAACAAAGGGGAGGTTTTCAAATCTTTTAAACCAAATTTCGTAGATTACCGGCCCCAAATTTCATAATAAACAACCCAGAGGAAGTGGTGGACGATCCGTCTTTACATGATGGGCGCATCAGGAGCTTTGCACATGAAAGGGGAAATTGGGTGACTTATGCATATATCCCTTGTACTGGATTTGAAATGGAAAATTGGTATAATAGTGAATTGCGACTGTTTTAGATGAAAGTAACGAAGGTCTGCAGAGGTTAATGTCACTGGTTACAAGTGTGGCGGTGCCGGAAGATATTGAGTTGAAGTGCTTCCAAGATTTACATTTAAGTCTCACTAGGACTGTGATATTGAGGTATCATTGGATAGACTCGTTTGTTAGCACCTTAAGGGATAATTTATCGCATTTTACTAAGTATGTCTACCGTTTTTAAATTAATTTTGGTGATTTGTTTTTTTTTTAAGATTTATTATAATGTTGGATCATTTGGAAGTTTACACCAATGAAGAAAAAACGCGTACGTTTATAGGTTTGCAAGTTAAAACTGGCTATGATGCTCTTTTAAAATTAGTGCATTGTTTGGATAATTGTTTAGGAGAGTTCAAACTACCCAAATTTTATGAAAATCCATCTTTCCACATTAGCATAGCGTGGTGCCTTGGAGACAACACAGAAAAGCTTAAGTCGCTTCTGCCTTACTTAAATCGCGACTTAGAACTCCTCATGTCAGAATATTCTCAAGAAAACTGGTATACTTATGTTGAACAAATCTTGTGCAAAACAGGTAACAAAATTTTCCAATTCCAACTGCAATGAAAATTTATTTATATAAAAATAGTAAGTAATTAGTGCTTTTTGATGGAATATGACCTCCCTCCCGGGTTCATGATGCACGTTTTGGCGGGCGACTCCAAACACCACTCATACCAAACTTTGTCCTGATTTTCCACCCTCCAGAAGGAGATTTCAATGACAGAGCCGCCACTCACTTTCAGAGGTTCCTACAAACAAAAACGATAACACTTATCTGTAAAAACTGTCCACTCACCATCAACGGGAACACAATCGGGAACCAACTGACCATCTCATGGGTGTGCGTTTCCGGATGGATACTCAGCGTCACGTCTTTGTACAAAACCGTATCAAAAAAGCCCACGAAACCCGTCAGAATGCACGTCTGCGTACAATTAAACCTCAACTTCTTATACCTCTCATTGTTGATGACGTCACTCCAGTTCGGGTGCTCAAACTTAAACAGCGCCTGCGCAGGAGCGATCTGGTAGTAGTTAACCAGATGAATAACATACGGAGTCTCGTAGCACGTCTTCAGTGTTTTATCCGCGGGTCTGTTATTTCTAATTTCGTTAAAAATCTTGATGCTTTGAAGCGGGGCTAAATACGACGTGTACGAACAAGGTATGGAGATTCCGTTCCTCTTGAGAAAGCGTTGGGCCCCGTCGAGACACTCCGGCGACAGCTCGTTGTCGCCGAAGGACCCCAGGAGCTCGGACACCAGAATGTCGGCTTTCTCCGGGGGCTCGTACACTCTCATGTCGTCGTTAATCAGAGTGACTTGGTCGCTCCACTCGTGTTTAACTCTGTCAATCAGGGTGTTTATGGCGTAGGGGTTTTTTTCAACAGCGTAGACTTTGACTTTTCTGTGGAGGATGTAGGAGACGTTTAAGGCAGCTTGTACGAGGGGGCCGCGCCCCGCCCCCACTACCATGATCGTGGGAATGGTGACATCCGCGGGTACGTCTTCTAGGGCTTTCTGGATCGCGTTTTGATATGTGGTGTATTTGATTTGGTCTTTTTCGAAAACTTCATAGATGTTGGTTTCTAAGTGTTCAGTTAGAGGTTGTAAGGGGTTCTGAGCTTCTGTTGCTTGTTTTCAAAGATTTCCCCTGTTGTTTTTGATTTTTGAAGTTTTTTGAGGATCTTTCAAAACTTTTAAAGATTCTTCAATTTTTTTAAAAGATTTTTTGAAAGTTTTTCAAGATTTTCTCGCTTTTTTCAAGATTCCTCAAGCAGTTTAAATTTTCTGACGATTTTTCAATTTTTCGAACTTTTTTGGAGATTAATTTTTTTATTTCTAAAGATTTTCAAAATTTTTACAGATGTATTTTGGATTTTCAAGATTTTTCAAAATTTTTTTTGTATAAATTTTAAGAATCTCAGGGATTACATGAGTCTTGTTTTTGAACTAATTTAAAGAGATTGTTCAAGATTTTTTTATTTTTTCAAGGGTTTTGAAGTTTTTCAAGATTTTTAATTTTTGTAAGGTTTTTCATAGTTTGTTGAGTTTTTTAAACACTTTTCTAATTTTCAAGATTTTTTTAACATTTTCTTTTTTCTTGAATTTTTTGAAGATTTTTTCAAGATATTTCCGTTTTTTAGATAGAGCCAGTTTATACAATATTTTAACTGGGATTAAGTTAATCACACATTTAACGAGATTCTTCCTTTTTAAATTTCTTGAGGATTCTTCAATTTTTTGTTTTTTTTTTTGAAAATTATTACTTTTTTTGAATTTTTAAAAATCTCCAAGATTTTTTACAGATTTGTTTTAAGATTTGTAAGATTTTTTCAGAATTTTTCATATATTTTTAAATTTTAAGAATCTCGAGGATCACCTGAGTCTTGTTTTTGAAGAAATTTAAAGAATTTAGGGGATTCCTTGTGTACGGTTTTTGAACTAGTTTGAAAGAACTTCGGGAATTCTTCTGTGTATTGTTTTTGAAGCAGTTTCAAGAGATTGTTCAAGATTTTTTATTTTTTAAAATTTTTAAGTTTTCTAAAGTTTTTCATATTTTCCTAAGTTTTTTAATTTTCAATTTTTTTTTAACATTTTCTTTTCAAGATTCTTCCATTTTTTTTTAAGATTTTCTTGAAAGTTTTTCAAGATTTTCTCGCTTTTTTCAAGATTCCTCAAATAGTTTAAATTTTCTGAAGATTTTTCAATTTTTTGAATTTTTTTGAAGATTATGCGTTTTTTTTTAATTTCTAAAGATTTTCAAGATTTTTTACAGATTTATTTTACGATTTTCAAGATTTTTCAAAATTTGTCTTTTGTTTAAATTCTCACGATCACATGAGTCTTGTTTTTGATGTAATTTAAAGAGATTGTTCAAGATTTTTTAAAGATTTTTTAATTTTTCAAGGGTTTTGAAGTTTTTCAAGATTTTTAATTTATGTAAGGTTTTTCATGCTTTCTTGAGTTTTTTAAACGCTTTTTTTTAATTTTCAAGATTTTTTTAACATTTTCTTTTTCTTGATTTTTTTTGAAGATTTTTTTCAAGATATTTCCGTTTTTGAGATGGAGTCAGTTTATACAATATTTTAACTGGGATTAAAGTTAATCACACATTTAACAAGCTTCTTTCTTTTTAAATTTCTTGAAGATTCTTCAATTTTTTTATTTTTTTTTAAATTATTAATTTTTTTGAATTTTTAAAAATTTTCAAGATTTTTTACAGATTTGTTTTAAGATTTTCAAAATTTTTCCAAAATTTTTCCTATTGTTTTAAATTTTAAGAATTTCGAGGATCACATGAGTCTTGTTTTTGAAGTAATTTAAAGAATCTCGGGGATTTCTTGTGTACGGTTTTTGAACTAGTTTGAAAGAATTTCGGGGATTTTTCTGTGTATTGTTTTTGAAGCAGTTTCAAGAGATTGTTCAAGATTTTTTAAAGATTTTTTTATTTTTTCAAAAGTTTTGAAGTTTTTCAAGTTTTTTAATTTTCAAGTTTTTTTTTAACATTTTCTTTTCAAAATTATTTCTTTTTAAATTTATTGAAAATTTTTCAAGATTGTTCAATTTTTTTTAAGATTTTCTTGAAAGTTTTTCAAGATTTTCTCACTTTTTTCAAGATTCCTCAAGTAATTTAAATTTTCTGAACACTTTTCAATTTTTTTCGAATTTTTTTGAAGATTATTCGTTTTTTTTTAATTTCTAAAGATTTTCAAGATTTTTTACAGATTTGTTTTAGAATTATCAAAAAAGAAAGCCCTTTGGAACAAATTTCGGAGAACAAAATGCAATAATGACTACGTAGCTCACAGGCTTTTCTCAAACGAACTATCTATCAAATTTTCAAGATTTTTCAAAATTTTTCTTTTGTTTAAATTGTAAGAATCTCAGGATCACATGAGTCTTGTTTTTGAAGTAATTTAAAGAGATTGTTCAAGATTTTTTAAAGATTTTTTTTTATTTTTTCGAGGGTTTTGAAGTTTTTCAAGATTTTTAATTTTTGTAAGGTTTTTCGTACTTTCTTGAATTTTTTTCAAAATATTTCCGTTTTTTAGATAGAGCCAGTTTATACGATATTTTAACTGGGATTAAGTTAATCACACATTTAACCGTGTTAAAAATTTAATTGCAATCAAAAATTTAATTGATCAAATCGGGTCTTAAAGATTTCCAATTAAAGATTTCCCCTTTTGTTTTTGATTTTTTCAAGTTTTTTGAAGATCTTTCAAGGTTTTTAAAGATTCTTCCATTTTTTTGAAGCTTCTTTGAAAAATTTTCAAAATTTTCTCGCTTTTTTCAAGATTCTTCCTTTTTAAATTTCTTGAAGATTCTTCAATTTTTTGATCTTCAAGATTTTTTACAGAATTGTTTTAAGATTTTCAAGATTTTTTCAATATTTTTTTTAAATTTTAAGAATCTCGAAGGTCACATGAGTTTGTTTTTGAATTAATTTAAAGAATCTCGGGGATTCCTTGTGTACGGTTTTTGAACTAGTTTGAAAGAATCTCGGGGATTTTTCTGTGTATTGTTTTTGAACCAGTTTGAGAGATTGTTCAAGATTTTTTAAAGATTTTTTATTTTTTCAAGAGTGTTGAAGTTTTTCAAGATTTTTAAGTTTTCTGAGGTTCTTCATACTTGCCTAATTTTTTTATTTTTCAAGTTTTCTTTAACATTTTCTTTTTTTTTATATTTTTCAAGATTCTTTCTTTTTAAGTTTCTTGAAGATATTTTTAGATTGTTCAATTTTTTATTTTTTTTCAAGATTTTTTAATCTCCGAAGACTTCTTTGAAGATTTTCAAGATTTGTTTTAAAATTTTTCCTTTTTGTTTGAAAATTTTTCAAGATTCTTTGTTTTTAAATTTCTTGAAGATTTTTTAAGATTGTTCAATTTTTTATTTTTTTTCAAGGTTTTTGAATCTCCGAAGACTTCTTTGAAGATTTCAAGATTTGTTTCAAAATTTTTCCTTTTTTGTTTGAAAATTTTTCAAGATTCTTTCTTTTTAAATTTCTTGAAGATTTTTTAAGATTGTTCAATTTTTAATTTTTTTTTTCAAGATTTTTGACTCTTCGAAGACTTTTCTTTGAAGATTTTCAAGATTTGTTTTAAAATTTTCCTTTTTTTGAAAATTTTTCAAGATTCTTTCTTTTTAAATTTCTTGAAGGTTTTGCAAGATTGTTCAATTTTTTAATTTTTTTGAATCTCCGAAGATTTTTCTTTGAAGATTTTCAAGATTTGTTTTAAAATTTTTCTTTTTTTTGAATTCAAAGAACCTTGGGGACCACTTGTCACTTGTATCTGGTTTTTGAAGTAGTTTAAAGAATCTCGGGGACGCGTTGTGTCTAGTTTTTGAAGTAATTTGATAGAATCTTAGGAATCCCTTTTGTTTTGTTTTTGAAGTAGATTGAAAAAATCTCGGGGATTCCTTTTGGTTTATTTTTGAAGTACATAGTTTGAAAGAATCTCGGGAACTCCTTGTGTCTGGTTTTTGAAGTAGGTTAAGAGAATCTCGGGGGCTTCTTGTGGTTTATTTTTGAAGTAGTTTAAAACAATCTCGGGAGCACCTTGTGGTTAATTTTGAAGATTTTATTGTGTCGAAATTTTTCAAGAATTTTCCAAAAAATAGATAAATTTTTAATCCTTGGTGAAAATTTTCATCAGAGTAAAAACCAATCAATCTTGGTTATGTCGAGATTAAAGTTTTTTGTTTTTCCGAAAATTTTGGATTATCAAACACATTTTTCGTGAATTTTAGAATCTTTCAAAATTAAAAAAAAAATACCAAAAACGTATCAAAAAATCAATACAACGATGTCCAAAAATTTTTGAAAACTAATTTCGTGATATATTTTCTAAGATGTTACATGTTTTAGCTATAAAACTTTACATTTGATAGATCAATTTTTAATCTCAGTTGAAAATTTTCGTCGACTCTTTCAGAATCGAACTTCTGCATTCTGTTGCACCAAAAAATATCATGAATTTTCGATTTTTTGTAGTGTAGTCGTTTGAATACCCCTCGTAAATACTACAATTTGTTTTAAACCATTCTTGTACAAATTTCAAACAACTATGTGTTATGCAACCCTTCTTACACTCGTGTAATGCAAGCAACCTGCTTATCGTAGTTTCACTGTCAAATGTCATTTTAGGTAAGATTTCCTAACCTATTTGAATTTAAAACCCGAAATAATGTCCAACAAAGGGGCCCTAGCCCTCCTGGCTGATTACGAAGGCAACAGTTCCGACGAAGAGGCCCCCAGCAGGTGTTTTTCAACCAAGAGACTGCACAGAGATGAAGAAAATGAAGAAATAAGAATAAAACGTGTGACAAAGTTTGTAAACAAGGTACAGGTTTTCAAATCTTTTGAATCAAATTTTGTAGATTACCGGCCCCGATTTTCATAATAAACAACCCAGAAGAAGTGGTGGACGATCCGTCTTTACATGATGGGCGCATCAGGAGTTTTGCACATGAAAGGGGAAATTGGGTGACTTATGCATATATTCCTTGTACTGGATTTGAAATGGAATATTGGTATAACAGTGAATTGCGACTGTTTTAGATGAAAATAATGAAGGTCTGCAGAGGTTAATGTCATTGGTTACAAGTGTGGCGGTGCCGGAAGATATTGAGTTGAAGTGCTTCCAAGATTTACATTTAAGTCTCACTAGGACTGTGATATTGAGGTATCATTGGATAGACTCGTTTGTTAGTACCTTAAGGGATAATTTATCACATTTTACTAAGTATGTCTAACGCTTGTAAATTACTTTATGTGATTCTTTTTTTTTTTTAAGATTTATTATAATGTTGGATCATTTGGAAGTTTACACCAATGAAGAAAAAACGCGTACGTTTATAGGTTTGCAAGTTAAAACTGGCTATGATACTCTTTTAAAATTGGTGCATTGTCTGGATAATTGTTTAGGAGATTTCAAACTTCCCAAATTTTATGAAAATCCATCTTTCCACATTAGCATAGCTTGGTGCCTTGGAGACAACACTGACAAGCTTAAGTCGCTTCTGCCTTACTTAAATCGCGACTTAGAACTCCTCATGTCAGAATATTCTCAAGAAAACTGGTATACTTATGTTGAACAAATCTTGTGCAAAACAGGTAACAAAATTTTCCAATTCCAACTGCAATGAAAATTTATTTATATAAAAATAGCAAGTAATTAGTGCTTTTTGATGGAATATGACCTCCCTCCCGGGTTCATGATGCAGGTTTTGGCGGGCGACTCCAAACACCACTCATACCAAACTTTGTCCTGATTTTCCACCCTCCAGAAGGAGATTTCAATGACAGAGCCGCCACTCACTTTCAGAGGTTCCTACAAACAAAAACGCTAACACTTATCTGTAAAAACTGCTCACTCACCATCAGCGGGAACACAATCGGGAACCAACTGACCATCTCATGGGTGTGCGTTTCCGGATGGATACTCAGCGTCACGTCTTTGTACAAAACCGTATCAAAAAAGCCCACGAAACCCGTCAGAATGCACGTCTGCGTGCAATTAAACCTCAACTTCTTATACCTCTCATTGTTGATGACGTCACTCCAGTTCGGGTGCTCAAACTTAAACAGCGCCTGCGCAGGAGCGATCTGGTAGTAATTAACCAGATGAATAACATACGGAGTCTCGTAGCACGTCTTCAGTGTTTTATCCGCGGGTCTGTTATTTCTAATTTCGTTAAAAATCTTGATGCTTTGAAGCGGGGCTAAATACGACGTGTACGAACAAGGTATGGAGATTCCGTTCCTCTTGAGAAAGCGTTGGGCCCCGTCGAGACACTCCGGCGACAGTTCGTTGTCGCCGAAGGACCCCAGGAGCTCGGACACCAGAATGTCGGCTTTCTCCGGGGGCTCGTACACTCTCATGTCGTCGTTAATCAGAGTGACTTGGTCGCTCCACTCGTGTTTGACTCTGTCAATTAGGGTGTTTATAGCGTAGGGGTTTTTTTCAACAGCGTAGACTTTGACTTTTCTGTGGAGGATGTAGGAGACGTTTAAGGCAGCTTGTACAAGGGGGCCGCGCCCCGCCCCCACTACCATGATCGTGGGAATGGTGACATCCGCGGGTACGTCTTCTAGGGCTTTCTGGATCGCGTTTTGATATGTGGTGTATTTGATTTGGTCTTTTTCGAAAACTTCATAGATGTTGGTTTCTAAGTGTTCAGTTAGAGGTCGTAAGGGGTTCTGAGCTTCTGTTGCTTGTTTTCAAAGATTTCCCCTGTTGTTTTTGATTTTTGAAGTTTTTTGAGGATCTTTCAAAACTTTTAAAGATTCTTCAATTTTTTTAAAAGATTTTTTGAAAGTTTTTCAAGATTTTCTCGCTTTTTTCAAGATTCCTCAAGTAGTTTAAATTTTCTGACGATTTTTCAATTTTTCCAACTTTTTTGGAGATTAATTTTTTTATTTCTAAAGATTTTCAAAATTTTTACAGATGTATTTTGGATTTTCAAGATTTTTCAAAATTTTTTTTGTATAAATTTTAAGAATCTCAGGGATTACATGAGTCTTGTTTTTGAAGTAATTTAAAGAGATTGTTCAAGATTTTTTTATTTTTTCAAGGGTTTTGAAGTTTTTCAAGATTTTTAATTTTTGTAAGGTTTTTCATAGTTTGTTGAGTTTTTTAAACACTTTTCTAATTTTCAAGATTTTTTTAACATTTTCTTTTTTCTTGAATTTTTTGAAGATTTTTTCAAGATATTTCCGTTTTTTCGATAGAGCCAGTTTATACAATATTTTAACTGGGATTAAGTTAATCACACATTTAACGAGATTCTTCCTTTTTAAATTTCTTGAGGATTCTTCAATTTTTTATTTTTTTTTGAAAATTATTACTTTTTTTGAATTTTTAAAAATCTCCAAGATTTTTTACAGATTTGTTTTAAGATTTGTAAGATTTTTTCAGAATTTTTCATATATTTTTAAATTTTAAGAATCTCGAGGATCACCTGAGTCTTGTTTTTGAAGTAATTTAAAGAATTTAGGGGATTCCTTGTGTACGGTTTTTGAACTACTTTGAAAGAACTTCGGGAATTCTTCTGTGTATTGTTTTTGAAGCAGTTTCAAGAGATTGTTCAAGATTTTTTATTTTTTCAAAAGTTTTGAAGTTTTTCAAATTTTTAAGTTTTCTAAAGTTTTTCATATTTTCCTAAGTTTTTTAATTTTCAATTTTTTTTTAACATTTTCTTTTCAAGATTCTTCCATTTTTTTTAAGATTTTCTTGAAAGTTTTTCAAGATTTTCTCGCTTTTTTCAAGAATCCTCAAGTAGTTTAAATTTTCTGAAGATTTTTCAATTTTTTGAATTTTTTTGAAGATTATGCGTTTTTTTTTAATTTCTAAAGATTTTCAAGATTTTTTACAGATTTATTTTACGATTTTCAAGATTTTTCAAAATTTGTCTTTTGTTTAAATTCTCACGATCACATGAGTCTTGTTTTTGATGTAGTTTAAAGAGATTGTTCAAGATTTTTTAAAGATTTTTTAATTTTTCAAGGGTTTTGAAGTTTTTCAAGATTTTTAATTTTTGTAAGGTTTTTCATGCTTTCTTGAGTTTTTTAAACGCTTTTTTTAATTTTCAAGATTTTTTTAACATTTTCTTTTTTCTTGATTTTTTTTGAAGATTTTTTTCAAGATATTTCCGTTTTTGAGATGGAGTCAGTTTATACAATATTTTAACTGGGATTAAAGTTAATCACACATTTAACGAGCTTCTTTCTTTTTAAATTTCTTGAAGATTCTTCAATTTTTTTATTTTTTTTAAATTATTAATTTTTTTGAATTTTTAAAAATTTTCAAGATTTTTTACAGATTTGTTTTAAGATTTTCAAAATTTTTCCAAAATTTTTCCTATTTTTTTAAATTTTAAGAATTTCGAGGATCACATGAGTCTTGTTTTTGAAGTAATTTAAAGAATCTCGGGGATTTCTTGTGTACGGTTTTTGAACTAGTTTGAAAGAATTTCGGGGATTTTTCTGTGTATTGTTTTTGAAGCAGTTTCAAGAGATTGTTCAAGATTTTTTAAAGATTTTTTTATTTTTTCAAAAGTTTTGAAGTTTTTCAAGTTTTTTAATTTTCAAGTTTTTTTTTAACATTTTCTTTTCAAAATTATTTCTTTTTAAATTTATTGAAAATTTTTCAAGATTGTTCAATTTTTTTTTAAGATTTTCTTGAAAGTTTTTCAAGATTTTCTCACTTTTTTCAAGATTCCTCAAGTAATTTAAATTTTCTGAACACTTTTCAATTTTTTTCGAATTTTTTTGAAGATTAATCGGTTTTTTTTAATTTCTAAAGATTTTCAAGATTTTTTACAGATTTGTTTTAGGATTTTCAAGATTTTTCAAAATTTTTCTTTTGTTTAAATTTTAAGAATCTCAGGATCACATGAGTCTTGTTTTTGAAGTAATTTAAAGAGATTGTTCAAGATTTTTAAAAATTTTTTTTATTTTTTCGAGGGTTTTGAAGTTTTTCAAGATTTTTAATTTTTGTAAGGTTTTTCGTACTTTCTTGAGTTTTTTAAACACTTTTAATTTTCAAGATTTTTTTTTAACATTTTCTTTTTTCTTGAATTTTTTTCAAAATATTTCCGTTTTTTAGATAGAGCCAGTTTATACGATATTTTAACTGGGATTAAGTTAATCACACATTTAACCGTGTTAAAAATTTAATTGCAATCAAAAATTCAATTGATCAAATCGGGTCTTAAAGATTTCCAATTAAAGATTTCCCCTTTTGTTTTTGATTTTTTCAAGTTTTTTGAAGATCTTTCAAGGTTTTTAAAGATTCTTCCATTTTTTTGAAGCTTCTTTGAAAAATTTTCAAAATTTTCTCGCTTTTTTCAAGATTCTTCCTTTTTAAATTTCTTGAAGATTCTTCAATTTTTTGATCTTCAATAATAATAATAATAATAAAAGCGTTTATTGTTCTACAAAAGAGACAATGTGAGAACAAAAGGTTCGGCTACAGCTCAACGCTGATACATTTCTAAGAACCAAACCCGTAAATACAAACAAGAGTATACAAAATAAAAAAAGACGAGAAAAAAGAAACACATTAAAATTTTATTGTGTCAATGTTGAAATTATTGGTCAAAATTTGTTTATTTATTTTGTTTTTAAGATTAAAATTAGAGTACCCACATGCTAACTCAGGGCACTTATTGAAAACGTAACTAGCCAAGTAAGAAAATGAAGTTTTAAACATTGACATTTTATGCGAAGGTATATCAAGTTGTGCATCGACAAATCGTAATTTTCTGGAATGAACTTGACTTCTTTTCAATATTTTATCGTAAAGATAAACTGGTGCATGTTCCTTTAAGACACTGTTAAGAAAACAACTGTAATGAATACAACGTTGTTCGTTCATTTTAAGTAAACCAAAAGATCTCAAATATGGAGTAATATGATCACCAAAAGGAACATTTGTAATAAATCTAATGCAGTTGTTTTGAATTTTTTGAAGCTTTGCTTTGTCATTTATAGTAAGGCAAGGACCATACAATTGATCGCAATAATTGAGGCGTGATAAAATCAACGAATTCATAAGCAAAAGTTTAGTTTTTTCATTTAAAATATGTTTTAGAGGAATAAGTTGCCTAAATTTTAAGTAACACTCTCTACAGATATGAGACACATGAGAGGAAAATGTTAATTCAGAATCGAATATAACCCCAAGATTTCTAACCTTGTCTACGTACTCTATTTTTTCATTATTAATAGTAATTTGAAGACTGACGCCTGAAAGTTTATGTGATGTGCCAAACAAGATATTGTGACACTTTTTTGTGTTAATCAATAATGAATTTGATGATGTCCATTTGTAAATCTCGTTTAAGTCATGATTGATCTGTTCTTGAGCACGTAATACTTCACAGGGAGGGAAACTTAAAAATAATTGAATATCGTCGGCGTATAGATGAATTTTACAAAACTTTGGCATATAAACGATGTCAGATATAAAAACGGAAAAAAGTAGAGGGCCTAATTTGGAGCCTTGAGGAACCCCATTGCTAACTCTGCGCTCACTAGAAAAAACTTGACCTTCAGTTGTATTTAAACGACAGACTTGTTTACGATTGTATAAATAGCTTCTGAACCAATCAAAGTTTGGATTACAGATACCATAATAGTAGAGCTTTTCTAATAAACAGTCTATGTTCAATGAGTCGAACGCTTTGGTTAAGTCTAATAACGTTACAGAAGTTAAATTTCCTAAATCTATATTGCTAATTATATGATCTGTTAACGACACAAGTGCAGTAGCGGTACTATGACATTTACGAAAACCTGATTGAACCGGTGGTATGGTGTTTTTGGAATTAATAAATTCACTAAGCTGCTGATAAATAACAGACTCAGCAATCATCAAAGCAACAGGCTGAATGCTAATGGGCCTCATGTCATTCAGAGATGTAAATTTATTCTTTTTTGGTATGGGAGTTACGCATGAAGTTTTCCATAATTTGGGAACATAACCATTTTCAAAACTGAGGTTAATGATGTGTGTCAAGGGGGCACTAACAAATGGCAAAGCAATCCTCAACATCCTACCAGAAATACCGTCATATCCCATAATAGAAGGTTTTAATTTCAGTATTGCTTCTTCAATTTTCTCTACTCCCACAGGTGAAAATACAAAATTACTGTCATTAGAAAAATTTGTACGGTTAATGTAATCACGAAAGCTAGATGTTGTAGTGACCGCAGGAACAGAATTTATAAAATAGTTGTTTATCTGGTCAGCATTAGCTAGTTCAGGAGGTATGGTTTCATTATTTTTACTTGCTATTATATTAGAGTTCCGTAAAGTTGCCCAAAATTTTCTTGGATTATTTTTACAATTCTGTGTAAAGTTGTATGTCATAAAACCACGTTTTTCTTGCTCTAGTGCAATATTATAAAAATTTCTTAATTCACAATAGTACCTTTTATGTTGTTCAAGCTTTGTCCTACAAAAATGATTCCAAGCTTTCCTTTTTAGGATTCTCAGTTTTCTAAGATTGTGAGTATACCATGGTTGATGAGATCTTTTAGTTTTATGACAACAGATTCTTAATGGAGCATGTACGTTAAAAATACTTAAAATGCATTCGTTAAAATATTTAACTTTTTCATCTAAGTCTGGCAACATATATATTTGATTCCAGTTAATTCTCTCAGCATCCTTGGAAAATTCATTTATGTCCAAATTTTTAAAACTTCTAGTAATTTTATGATTAGTTATCTCGTTATAATTATTAAAATCTACTATACAATGAATATTGTTGTGGTCGGCTAGTGCAAGATCAGATACCCAAGACTTAATAATTTCAACATTTGAACTAACAATAATTAGATCTAAGAGAGATTCGCTATCCTTGGTAATCCGTGTGGGATCATTAATTAATTGGTTACAATCAAGTTCAAATAACAAAGATTTTAGAAATTTGCTACCAGGAGAATCAACAAGCAAATCAACATTGAAGTCACCAATAAATATAAAATCAAGTTTTTTAAGAGTCAAAAAATTTATAATATCTCCTAGCAAATTTAGATTGTTAAAATTAATATCAGGTGGTCTGTAAAATGTACCTACGGCAATCTCTTGTGAGTTTATCTTAAGTTTAATTAATAAGTATTCAATAGAGCTATCAGAAATTTCATCCGAACAAAACTTTAAAATTTCAAATTTAAGAAAAGACTTAACATATAAAGCAACACCTCCACCTACTGTGGCACGATCCTTGCGAATGATGTTGTAGCCTGGCAAGCTAAAAGTATCGTCTGGAACATCCGGTGGAAACCATGTTTCACTGACGCCTATGAGGGAATAATCATGTTGGAGTACTATGTCTTTGAACTTGTGAAATTTGTTACACAAGGATCTTGCGTTCAGGTGAGTAATAGCTAGGCCACTTGGTTTTGATTCGTGCGCTTCCAAAAAAATTTATTGACAGTTACTCCAGAAGGCCAAAAGTTTGGATCCATTACAGATTCAGTTAATGAGTTTGGGACGGTGATTTTAAAAGACGAGTATACTTCTGGATGTTTAGAGCTCATTTTCTCGCAGTTTATCTCTGATGACGTTGATGCAAAAAATGCAACTACATCTTCAACGGTTGTACCAGGAAGAAGGCGGCTTATATGAAAGCTAGAAGTTTTATTGCGCTTTGGAACACCAACTAAGGTATTCCCACTTGACGAAACACCACTGCCAACTATTGGTTTAGATCTCCTTTTCTCGTTAAGAGAAGGTTTTCCTTTGGGGCTGCTATCAGAGTTAAGTTGTTTCTCATTCTTATTGCCACGTTTTTTATGAGTCACCAGTTTAAAACCATCCTGGAAGACATCATCGTCTGCGTCATGTTGAGTTTTGTTGTCATCTTCATTCAGATAGATAATTTCATTCATGATTTGCAGCTGTTTATCGTGCATCAGCTGTGCATTTTTTGTTTTCTTATAATCAGCAGCAGTACCTGTAGAAATAAGTCTTTTATCAATCGCACACTGAGGTTTTTCAACGCTCACGATTGAATTCGCAGTTTTATTATATAGGTCGATTTTAATTTGGTGAATTTCGTTAATAATTTGATGGAAGCGTTCATTTACCATGTCGACAGATGCATATTTACCAAGTATCGAAGTATTTTTAACTTGCTTAAGTTGTTTCGTAAGAGTATCAACTTCAGTTCTTGAGAAGTGTAGTTGTTCTTTAAGCAATTCTATTGTTGTTGACATTTCTGCAATAGTTGCTTTGAGTTTCATGTTTTCCCATTGAAAATTCGTAAGAATATCTTGTGAGGTCACATTTTCTTCAATGTCATCGTCGCCGTCGTCAGCGAAACTTTCGTTTTCATGATACGCAATTGTTGATTTCTTGGAACAGCAATTTGTTCTTTGTGCACAACTTTGATGAAACGTAGCTTTACAATTAACACATATCACTTTTTTCTTAATTACTGGTCTTTTACACGTAGTACAATTGAAATTAATAAGAGCTGCTTTCTGCACTGTATTAGTGTCAGCCATTTTCTTTCAATCCTAAACTTCACTGTATTAGTGTCAGCCATTTTCTTTCAATCCTAAACAATTCTGTAAAAATCTTCAAGATTTTTTACAGAATTGTTTTAAGATTTTCAAGATTTTTTCAATATTTTTTTTAAATTTTAAGAATCTCGAAGGTCACATGAGTTTGTTTTTGAATTAATTTAAAGAATCTCGGGGATTCCTTGTGTACGGTTTTTGAACTAGTTTGAAAGAATCTCGGGGATTTTTCTGTGTATTGTTTTTGAACTAGTTTGAGAGATTGTTCAAGATTTTTTAAAGGTTTTTTTTATTTTTTCAAGAGTGTTGAAGTTTTTCAAGATTTTTAAGTTTTCTGAGGTTCTTCGTACTTGCCTAATTTTTTTATTTTTCAAGTTTTCTTTAACATTTTCTTTTTTTTTTATATTTTTCAAGATTCTTTCTTTTTAAGTTTCTTGAAGATATTTTTAGATTGTTCAATTTTTTATTTTTTTTCAAGATTTTTTAATCTCCGAAGACTTCTTTGAAGATTTTCAAGATTTGTTTTAAAATTTTTCCTTTTTTGTTTGAAAATTTTTCAAGATTCTTTCTTTTTAAATTTCTTGAAGATATTTTTAGATTGTTCAATTTTTTATTTTTTTTCAAGATTTTTTAATCTCCGAAGACTTCTTTGAAGATTTTCAAGATTTATTTTAAAATTTTTCTTTTTTTGTTTGAAAATTTTTCAAGATTCTTTCTTTTTAAATTTCTTGAAGATTTTTTAAGATTGTTCAATTTTTTATTTTTTTTTCAAGGTTTTTGAATCTCCGAAGACTTCTTTGAAGATTTCAAGATTTGTTTCAAAATTTTTCCTTTTTTGTTTGAAAATTTTTCAAGATTCTTTCTTTTTAAATTTCTTGCAGATTTTTTAAGATTGTTCAATTTTTTATTTTTTTTTTCAAGATTTTTGACTCTTCGAAGACTTTTCTTTGAAGATTTTCAAGATTTGTTTTAAAATTTTCCTTTTTTTGAAAATTTTTCAAGATTCTTTCTTTTTAAATTTCTTGAAGGTTTTGCAAGATTGTTCAATTTTTTAATTTTTTTGAATCTCCGAAGATTTTTCTTTGAAGATTTTCAAGATTTGTTTTAAAATTTTTCTTTTTTTTAAATTCAAAGAACCTTGGGGACCACTTGTCACTTGTATCTGGTTTTTGAAGTAGTTTAAAGAATCTCGGGGACGCGTTGTGTCTAGTTTTTGAAGTAATTTGATAGAATCTTAGGAATCCCTTTTGTTTTGTTTTTGAAGTAGATTGAAAAAATCTCGGGGATTCCTTTTGGTTTATTTTTGAAGTACATAGTTTGAAAGAATCTCGGGAACTCCTTGTGTCTGGTTTTTGAAGAAGGTTAAGAGAATCTCGGGGACTTCTTGTGGTTTATTTTTGAAGTAGTTTAAAACAATCTCGGGAGCACCTTGTGGTTAATTTTGAAGATTTTATTGTGTCGAAATTTTGAAGAATTTTCCAAAAATGCTAGCTAGATAAATTTTTAATCCTTGGTGAAAATTTTCATCGGAGTGAAAACCAATCAATCTTGGTTATGTCGAGATTAAAGTTTTTTGTTTTTCCGAAAATTTTGAACTATCAAACACATTTTTCGTGAATTTTAGAATCTTTCAAAATTAAAAAAAAAATACCAAAAACGTATCAAAAAATCAATACAACGATGTCCAAAAATTTTTGAAAACTAATTTCGTGATGTATTTTCTAAGATGTTACATGTTTTGGCTATAAAACTTTACATTTGATAGATCAATTTTTAATCTCAGTTGAAAATTTTCGTCGACTCTTTCAGAATCGAACTTCTGCATTCTGTTGCACCAAAAAATATCATGAATTTTCGATCTTTTGTAGTGTAGTCTTTTGAACACCCCTCGTATATCGTACAATTTGTTTTTAAACCATTCTTGTAAAAATTTCAAACAACTATGGGTTATGCAACCCTTCTTACACTCGTGTAATGCAAGCAACCTACTCATCGCAGTTTCACTGTCAAATGTCATTTTAGGTAAGATTTCCTAACCTATTTGAATTTAAAACCCGAAATAATGTCCAACAAAGGGGCCCTAGCCCTCCTGGCTGATTACGAAGGCAACAGTTCCGACGAAGAGGCCCCCAGCAGGTGTTTTTCAACCAAGAGACTGCACAGAGATGAAGAAAATGAAGACATAAGAATAAAACGTGTGACAAAGTTTGTAAACAAGGTACAGGTTTTCAAATCTTTTGAATCAAATTTTGTAGATTACCGGCCCCGAATTTCATAATAAACAACCCAGAAGAAGTGGTGGACGATCCGTCTTTACATGATGGGCGCATCAGGAGCTTTGCACATGAAAGGGGAAATTGGGTGACTTATGCATATATCCCTTGTACTGGATTTGAAATGGAAAATTGGTATAATAGTGAATTGCGACTGTTTTAGATGAAAGTAACGAAGGTCTGCAGAGGTTAATGTCACTGGTTACACGTATGGCGTTGCTGGAAGATATTGAATTGAAGGGTTTCCAAGATTTGCATTTAAGTCTCACTAGGACTGTGATATTGAGGTATCATTGGATAGACTCGTTTGTTAGCACCTTAAGGGATAATTTATCACATTTTACTAAGTATGTCTAATGTTTGTAAACTAATTTTGGTGATTCATTTTTTTTTTTTAAGATTTATTATAATGTTGGATCATTTGGAAGTTTACACCAATGAAGAAAAAACGCGTACGTTTATAGGTTTGCAAGTTAAAACTGGCTATGATACTCTTTTAAAATTGGTGCATTGTCTGGATAATTGTTTAGGAGATTTCAAACTTCCCAAATTTTATGAAAATCCATCTTTCCACATTAGCATAGCTTGGTGCCTTGGAGACAACACTGACAAGCTTAAGTCGCTTCTGCCTTACTTAAATCGCGACTTAGAACTCCTCATGTCAGAATATTCTCAAGAAAACTGGTATACTTATGTTGAACAAATCTTGTGCAAAACAGGTAACAAAATTTTCCAATTCCAACTGCAATGAAAATTTATTTATATAAAAATAGCAAGTAATTAGTGCTTTTTGATGGAATATGACCTCCCTCCCGGGTTCATGATGCAGGTTTTGGCGGGCGACTCCAAACACCACTCATACCAAACTTTGTCCTGATTTTCCACCCTCCAGAAGGAGATTTCAATGACAGAGCCGCCACTCACTTTCAGAGGTTCCTACAAACAAAAACGCTAACACTTATCTGTAAAAACTGCTCACTCACCATCAGCGGGAACACAATCGGGAACCAACTGACCATCTCATGGGTGTGCGTTTCCGGATGGATACTCAGCGTCACGTCTTTGTACAAAACCGTATCAAAAAAGCCCACGAAACCCGTCAGAATGCACGTCTGCGTACAATTAAACCTCAACTTCTTATACCTCTCGTTGTTGATGACGTCACTCCAGTTCGGGTGCTCAAACTTAAACAGCGCCTGCGCAGGAGCGATCTGGTAATAATTAACCAGATGAATAACATACGGAGTCTCGTAGCACGTTTTCAATGTTTTATCCGCGGGTCTGTTATTTCTAATTTCGTTAAAAATCTTGATGCTTTGAAGCGGGGCTAAATACGACGTGTACGAACAAGGTATGGAGATTCCGTTCCTCTTGAGAAAGCGTTGGGCCCCGTCGAGACACTCCGGCGACAGCTCGTTGTCGCCGAAGGACCCCAGGAGCTCGGACACCAGAATGTCGGCTTTCTCCGGGGGCTCGTACACTCTCATGTCGTCGTTAATCAGAGTGACTTGGTCGCTCCACTCGTGTTTAACTCTGTCAATCAGGGTGTTTATGGCGTAGGGGTTTTTTTCAACAGCGTAGACTTTGACTTTTCTGTGGAGGATGTAGGAGACGTTTAAGGCAGCTTGTACGAGGGGGCCGCGCCCCGCCCCCACTACCATGATCGTGGGAATGGTGACATCCGCGGGTACGTCTTCTAGGGCTTTCTGGATCGCGTTTTGATATGTGGTGTATTTGATTTGGTCTTTTTCGAAAACTTCATAGATGTTGGTTTCTAAGTGTTCAGTTAGGGGTTGTAAGGGGTTCTGGAGGAAGTCTTCACAGCCTTGAATGAACTCAAGATTTGTGTCAGACACATACAACTTCTTCCCTAAAAAGTGTAAATACTTGGTATAAACGGATAAGTCGCCTTCGGTGTCCGTTTTAATAATGTACTGAACGTCAATGCTTAAGAATCTCTGGATGAGCTCCTGGTGCAGTCGTGACAGCACCGGTTTACCGTGAGTGTTCATAATGAAGTACGACGTCGGGACGATGAGGGCCCTCACGGGTTCCCCGATCCACCTATCCACTTCGCTTTTCGTTGGAATGTAGCGCACCTCTGGCAATTCCAGCACCACCCCAACGTGCTTATCATAGTTACAATAAGTCCTAAAGTCGTTCCACCACTCCCAGGAATCCTCCTTCTCGTCCTCGCCGCAAATGGGGCTGTATTGCGACGGGTGCACCATGGGCACGGTCACCCAGAAACTCGAATTAAACCCGTGCACCAACTTCTCGTTAACCAGACGCCCCAACTGCCCATTGTGTCTCTTAGTCAGACAAATCTTGACCACGGGCACCCCCAGGTGCACCGCAAACCCCAACTCCTGCAGGAACAGCGCTTTGCTTTTCCGCTGCACGTGGTCGATTTCGCTGTCCACGTTAATCGTGGGGGTTAGTTCCGCTAAAACCACTTATGAGACAACTACAATTTATTGTAGTACTTTATTACCGACTATGTAGCGGCTCCACTCCAAGCTTTGTAAAATGCGGTCCGTGCGTCCGATCGACGGGGGCGGCTTACCCTTCAGGAGCTCCCTAGCGTAGTTTGGATGGGTGATTTGGGTCACCACAAAGTGGTAGCCGAATTCGTATGCGGACTGGATGGCCAGTCTAAGGCTGTGAGGGCAGTTGATTTGGAGTCCGGTGGACATGCGTTTGCGCTTCTCATTATCTCCGTCGGGAAAGTATTGCGTTTCGACGCTCATCGCGGGGCTGCAACATGTTGTGGATTGAGGTTATGTTGGCGGTGATGGGGTTAGGGGGAGTGGTTTGGGGCGACGGGGGCGGCGATGCGCGGGTGGCGGTCGAGGGTGGGTGTTTTTGGGTGGTGCTTGTGTGGATTTCGGTGGTTTAGCGACCTTACCATGCACGATTTTTAAATTAAACCGAACTGTCATTTGGGTATAGCTGTCAAGCTCCAGGTTGGGCAACCGAAGGACTAGGGGAGGTGAAATGTTACTAGAATTAAATATGAAAAATACAGATAGAGAAAAGATTATAGACGGACCAAGCGGTAATACCACAAACCTAAAAATTATAGACCGCGTGTGAGTGAAAAATTTAATTGGTTATAAAATGGTAACAAATTTTATGACACTCTAATTCTTAAATTCTAAATTCACCTGGTACTATATTTTGGTAGGTAATTTAGAACCAGTTAAAGAGATAAAACATAGAAATCGCGACATAAATGTAAATGAATGAATAAACGACTTATATTAAAAGAGAATTTGGTAACAATTAAAAAAACTAAAAAATAAATATATTTTGTCCAGTGTAAAAAGTTGTGCAGATTTTCTTCTTTCCTTTCATCATTTCCTTGTTGTCTCTTCCTCTTTTCAATAGATTTCTTTTTTTGTTTTTCGATTTGTTTCTTCATTTCTCTCTTTTTAGTTATGTTAACTCTTCTAGAATTCTAAAATAAAAGTCTCAAGTTGCACTATAATTTTTTGTCAGTTTTTTTTTTTTAATTTAATTCATTCGTGAATGCAACATAGTGTGTTTTTGTTTTTTTTTTTCGATAAAGAATTAATTAATAATTAAAAATAAAGACGACCCCATCGGCTGTCTATAACGGAAAAATAAATAAATTTTAATTAATATCGAATAATTAATTTCCATACTTAAACCTAAAAATACTAAGTACTCAACTTGTCATTAAATTCGGTATTTTGTAAAATCAGACCAGAAACGTCAAATGTCAAAGTCAAAGCCGCCGCGTCGTCGACCTATCAAAGTTCACATGATCATAGACACCTGCACCAAATTCGCTCTAATTTACCTTCACACCCAACAGCCCGTTGCCATCGTTTCGCCGCAAAAAGTGCCAACCAATCACTTCTCGTCACGTGGTTTCCCTCGTGACCCGGCACGTGACCCCCGCTAATTAAGCGTCCAGTCCTCGCGACATTAAATCAGCCCTGTGCCGCACACAAAGCCGAAAAGTGTCGTGCCGCACTCGTACAAAAGCCTCAAAGATAAGCATATATTTTCCATTAAACCATCATTTGTACGTATTCATGCAACACGGCATCAGATAAGTGTTGCCAACTGTACAAAATGTAGGTAGGTGTACGGCGGCCGGTCGAGCGCTACCATGGGCTCCGCCCCGCCGATGGGAGGGATGGAGCTGTTCCCGCCCTCTGCCTGCACCCCTGGCAGTCCTCGGCCATCGCTGAGGGGCGAGCGAGGGTGGAAATGGGGTGTATTGTGCCCCGGCTTGTTGTGTTCTGAAGTGTTCGATCGCCATATTGATAGGAATACTCACTTTTTATTGGTGGGTTTTAAATTAGCGCGAAAAATGCCGCGAGCCGAAATATGTATTTATTGATTTCGTGTAAATAACGCGCAAGGGGCAGTGGCAGCGATGGGGAGGCGCCGGGGGGAGGGGTGGGAATAATGCATGGGTTTTTGTGGATGGCGATTCGAACTATTATTTAAGGGTAATAGGGAAACGAATTGGTTTGGGGAGGATTTTGGTGGGAGGGACAGTGTCGGAGGTTTAATTTTTAATCTTAAAAATCTCGCGACGAAAGTAGTTCTGGTTTTGGATTTGTACGTGTCGAGCGACTGGATACTTTTATGTTTTCTCGACGTTTCATGACCCCTAGAATGCGAAAACATATTAGACAGATACTCTATGAATCCATGTTGAAATTTTATTAAGCTAGCTTCTTAAAAATTGATGTCAATCTTACAATAAATGTTATTTAAATTTTATAAAATAACGTATTCTTGTATGTGTGATTTATGAATCCATCTTGAGATTTTTGGAAAAAAAAAATCAAAAATCAAAACAACATTTTACAATTTAATTTTGAAGGTTAAGAACTGAAATCGGGAGAATAATAGCCAAAAAATAATTGCAAAATCAGAAAAAATGAAAAACTGACAAATCAAACAATTGAAAAACTGAAAAATCGAAAAATTTGGACAATGAAACAGTGAAAAATTCAAAAATTAAAATTCGAGCAGCAGAAAATCGAAAAATTAAAAATGTCAAAGTCTAAAAATTGCTAAATCGTAAAACTGAAGGAACGAAATACTGAAAAATCGAAAATTTTGAATTTGAGGAAGAAAAATCGCAAAATAATTCAAAAATATCAAATTAAAAAATTGAAAAATTGCAACAATAAAACACCGAAGAGTGTGAGAATTGAAATTCGAGATATTGACAATCGAAATACTGGAGAACCGAAAAATTAAAAATTGAGAGATGAAAAACAGGAAAATTAAAAATTGAGAGACGAAAAATCGCAAAATTGAAAACAGAAAAAACTAAAATAACTAAAATTTGAAAAATTGTCCAAAAACCGGAAATAATCGAAATAATGAAAAATTAAAAGAAATAATTGTAACAATGAAACATCGAAAAGTTTAAGAATTTGAGAAATTGAAAGTAGAATAATTGAAAAACTAAAATTAAAAAATTAAGAACCGAAAAATGGCAAAATTGAAAACAACGAAAAATTAAATAATGGAAAAACTGAAATGTCGAAACAACGAAGAATTGAATAATTAGAAACGAAAAACCTAAATCAATAAATTGAAGCATCGAAAATTAAAATATATATCTGATCTATATTTGAAAAATCAAAAATTAAAATTTGAGAAACAAAACATCGCAACGTTGACAAATTGAAAATTTAAAAAATATAAAAGTTGAAAAATAGCAAATCGAAAAATTAAAAATTGAGAAATTAAAAATCGAAAAATTAAAATAAACTAAAATGAGGATTTGAGGATTATGGTGTTCTGGGGATTTGGGGACTATGATGCTCCAATTATAGTGTTCTGAGGATTTGATGACTTTCAACTTTTTTTTGATTTTTGCAATTTTTCGATTTATAAATTACCCAACTTTTAATTTTTCAATTTCTCAATTTCTGATATCTACCTAATTCAATATTTTGATGGTTTAATTTTTGATTTTCCAATTACCCAATTTTTCAAATATTCTTTTTTCATTAATCGTTTAAATTTAAAATTTTTCCATTTTTAGTAGATTTTCAATTTTTCTTTTTTAAATATTCAGCGATTTTTGAGTTTTCAGTTTTTCATTTTTTATTAATTCGATTTTTCGCTTCTTTAATTTTTACATTTATTGATTTGTCAATTTTTCCATTTTTCAGTTTTACAATTTTCGATGATTTCTTTTTTTTTCAATTTTAGATTTCCAATTTTACGATTTTTCAATTTCTCGACTTTAAAATTACACAGTTTTTAATTATTTTCTGTTTTCAGTTTTGCGATTTTTCATCTTTCAATTTTTAATTTTTCGGTTTTTCAATCTTTGAAATTTCAGTTCTTATCCTTCTCGAATTTCAATTTTTGAACTTTTCACTGTTTCATTGTTAAAATTTTTCGATTTTTCATTTTTCAGTTTTTCGATTTTCATTAATTCGAGTTTTCGCTTTTTTAATTTTTACATTTATCGATTTGTCAATTTTTCCATTTTTCAGTTTTACAATTTTCGATGATTTCTTTTTTTTTTTTGAATTTTAGATTTCCAATTTTACGATTTTTCAATTTTAACACTTTTGTAATCTCTTGACTTTAAAATTACACAGTTTTTAATTTTTTTCTGTTTTCAATTTTGCGATTTTTCATCTCTCAATTTTTAATTTTTCGGTTTTTCAATCTCTCAAACTTCAGTTCTTATACTTTTCAGTGTTTCGTTGCTGCATTTTCTCAATTTTTCGATTTTTCCGATTTTTGAATTATTTTTCGATTTTTATTTACTTCCTAGAATTCAAAATTTTCAGTTTTTCAATATTTCGTTCCTTCAATAATTTTACCATTTGGCAATTCTTAGATTTTTCATTTTTAATTTTTCGATTTTCTACTTCTCGAATTTCAATTTTTGAACTTTTCACTGTTTCATTGTTAAAATTTTTCGATTTTTCATTTTTCAGTTTTTCGATTTTCATTAATTCGATTTTTCGCTTCTTTGATTTTTACATTTATCGATTTGTCAATTTTTCCATTTTTCAGTTTTACAATTTTCGATGATTTCTTTTTTTTTTTTGAATTGTAGATTTCCAATTTTACGATTTTTCAATTTTAACACTTTTGTAATTTCTCGGCTTTAAAATTACACAGTTTTAAATTTTTTTCTCTTTTCAATTTTGCGATTTTTCATCTCTCAATTTTTAATTTTTCGGTTTTTCAATCCCTTAAATTTCCGTTCTTATACTTTTCAGTGTTTAATTGCTGCAGTTTTTCGATTTTTCGAGTTTTGAATTATTTTTCGATTTTTATTTACTTCCTAGAATTCAAAATTTTCAATTTTTCAATATTTCGTTCCTTCAATGATTTTACCATTTGGCAATTCTTAGATTTTTACATTTTTAATTTTTCGATTTTTTTACTTCTCGAATTTCAATTTTTGAAATTTTCACTGTTTCATTGTTTAAATTTTTCGATTTTTCATTTTTCAGTTTTTCGATTTTCATTAATTCGATTTTTTGCTTCTTTAATTTTTACATTTATCGATTTGTCAATTTTTTCGTTTTTCAGTTTTACAATTTTCGATGATTTCTTTTTTTTTTGAATTTTAGATTTCCAATTTTACGATTATTCAATTTTAACACTTTTGTAATTTCTCGACTTTAAAATTACACAGTTTTTAATTTTTTTTTGTTTTCAATTTTGCGATTTTTCATCTCTCAATTTTTAATTTTTCGGTTTTTCAAAATCTCAAATTTCAGTTCTTATACTTTTCACTGTTTCATTGCTGCAGTTTTTTAATTTTTCGATTTTTCCGATTTTTGAATTTTTTTTGGATTTTTATTTACTTTCTAGAATTCAAAATTTTCAATTTTTCAATATTTCGTTCCTTCAATAATTTTACCATTTGGCAATTCTTAGATTTTTACATTTTTAATTTTTCGATTTTCTACTTCTCGAATTTCAATTTTTGAACTTTTCACTGTTTCATT